TTTTCTCATTCACCACAGTAGGCCTCTGTGAAGTTCCTGTGTCAGAAGCCTTCTACGTGGAAACACTTTAGATAATCTGTCTCAAATTGAAGCAGTAGTAAAAAAAAAAAAAGTCATACAATTTGACAAAATGAACAATAAGTAGTTTCCAGGACAAGATAACATCCAGCCAAGAATTCTAAGAGCATTCAAGGATTAAATAGTTGAAGTACTCACTGTAGTGTAACCTCCTGATTAACATTCCCTAGTTACTGGGGAACTGGAAAATAACAAATGCAATGCTATTCATAAAAAAAGATGCTAGGGGAACCAGGGGACTACAGACTAATAATTCTGAAATCTGTACTAAGCAAATTTTAATTTTGCTATAATAATAGTAATAATAATAAATTACAGTAAGGAGTAATAGTGGAAATAGAGAATAGAAATAAATATAATTGGGAGATATAAATGCAGGATTTTAAAAAAGAAGTTGCCTCAGTTGAAGAACAAGAAAGTGAGGAAGAAGTTGTTGATGCAGAACATCTCACTACAGAGACTATGAATACTAAGATTTTATACCAGCTCAAAAAGCAAATAGACAAATTATAGCAGTAAAGTCCTGGCAAGCCTGAACCTTAAGTTTTTGGAAGTTGGGACAGTATTTGGTGGGAATATCACTTTACTGACACGTTCTTCAGTTCTTCCCTCTACACCTTTATGGATTACAGTAGGAATCAGAACCTAGGGCAAGATGAATGCTTAATCTTATATGGTAAAGCAGCTCCTGTGAGTTTGTATGCTAATGACTAGCTGGACTTTGATGTTTAATAGAAATTCTCTTCAAGTTCTCTTCTTCCTAATCAATGAAGATCCATTAAAATAAATATTCTTTGTAACACCTGGGCTGGATATTGTCTTTGATTAAAATTAGAGTCTTCAATATCAACTACAGCGCTGTCTGGATTGAATATGTCTAGGCCTCTTCCTGATGTAAGAATAAATAAGAATGGTATTTTGAGCTTATTGAACTGCTTTTATAATGACATCTTATAACAAGCTAACAAGTCAAGTGTGCTTATGCAAAGCCAGACAGGATATATAAGTTTAGAATAAGAACTAACTCATTATCTATTTTTCTAATTATACTAGACAAAAAGGCAGGAAACTGAAATTAATGAATTTGCTAGACTAGTTTTCTTTCTTTCATTTCTCAATCATCTTGCTACATTTATATATATTCTGACTCTTCCAATTACAAAGAAATAGCACAAAGTTGTCCTACCGTGATTGCCTGAATATAAGATCAACTCTGCGAATCTTCTGAAATAAGAAATACTTTCATAAGATCAGCTCATCAGTGGCAGAAAGTTCAGTTGCAAAAGCAAGGATCAAAGACATCACATGTGGTCTTTGAACTCCTGGATGCCAGTTGTCACTGAACTTTTTTGCTCTCAGTCAACACTACAGCCTGTATCTGTGATGGTCGCTGTTATTCTACACATTAGAACTGTTGAATTCTCAGAAGGTAAAACCAGCAACCTCAAAATTTATCAAACAATGGTCAATTATACAGTCTTGAAACAAAATAGTCCATGTGAAAAACTTACAGAATATATCTTAGTATACAAACATCAATGTTCTTTTTCGTTTTAATCCTCTACTTTTTTCTTCTAGCAAATAGCTGCCACGTGGTCACATAGTCTAAAGGAAATTAGAACTTCTGTTCCAATTTCAGTAGGAGATTTGGCTGTGTAAGGGCTACAGGGTCGTTTTTTAGCAGCTGTGTTTGAGATACCTGGGACAATATTTTGCATTTAAATTTTGTTTCTGTTCAAGCAATAGCCGATAGGCTTCTGTAATAAAACAAATGAAAAAATTGTTGAAGAAACTTTCCTACTACTTAATATTTACACATAAACAGATACACATCCATAAGTGCTTGTTAGATCTACAGGTTTGGGAGAAAGGTGGGGGTGTATTTACACAGATTCCTGAATAAGCTGATGGAACTTTTGTGAGCCTGAGAATACATAATGAGAATGAGACATTGTGCTAGAGGCATCTTTGTATTGTTCAAGAGCATAAAAAAAACCCCAAAACCACAAGAAAACTTCATTCTGAACTGTATTACTCAGTCTTGATTTCACTATAAGATCTATAGGGGAACACAATGTATGTCAGGAGATGTATCTTTCTTACAGATGCTTTTAAGAATGTGGTTTTGGCATATTAATTGGCAAAATAATGTGGAAATGTCTTAAGTGCATTATTCTAAATGTCATCGTAACATAGAATTTGATTATGTATTCAAAACAATTTGGAATTTTTAGCATTTCTTACAACTCATTCTTTATAGAATTTCCATCTATGAACATCAAGAGCAGCTTCATTTTTAGCTGACTAAAAATTTTAAAATAATTATACTCAACTCCAGAGAGATGGCCTGTTGTGCAAATTAAGTTATTTAACTGCAAAATATGAAATCACTGAAATCTTCTTTCTGATCACAGCAGAAACTATAAAGTTACCTAGTATCTGCTATCTAGTATGTGCTTTTTGGCTTAGGGTTTTTTATTATCTTTTTAGAGCATAAGTCAGAATACCACACTGTACTCCATTTACATGGAAAATAGTTACCATCACATTTAAAGTTACTACAGTCTTTTTGTGTACCACTTACAAGAAGCAATGCTTTTTTCTAGTTTTAAATTAACCTAAACTACCATTCTTGCAATAAGTAATATTCCAGGGTAAAAATCATATATTTGCAAGATAAATGCAAAATTTGCACAGAACTCTGATGTATACTTAAAATAAGTCATCATCCCTCCTCTTACAGAAGTGCCTCAAAGCTAGTCATGAACAAACATGTCATTGTAGATAATCATGCTCGAGATAGAGCACCTACCATACCAAAACTGCAGAAACAGTAAAATTGTTGAATAATATCAAGTCATCAGCATCCACATATATGGCTGCTCAGCTGCTACTGGTCATTCATACTACTGGTGTTAGAAACATAATCAGGAAGGATGCACTACAGGTTGGTTTTGGTTTTTTTTTAAATGCAGCTCAGTGACTCTCTCAGAACAGGCTTTCATTCCTGGGGCATCCCTTCCACACAGCTCCCTGTGCTGCCCCATTAGATTTCCCATCATAAGAAAATGTTGAGGGCAAAAGCTCACTTGGAATACGTATATTCTACACCTTGATACAGCATGATTCACACGACACGTCTGCTAATGTGTTCTTTTTAATCTTTCTATACAAGGTTTAAGGGACTTTTTGAACAAAATTCTGCTTTTCACACTGAGGTGAAACCACTGTAACAAGTAGGATAAAAGTTAATAGAAATATTAAGCTTAAAGTGGGAACAAGGTGAGAACTCAGGGGGCAGGGTGGATCCAGTTTTCTGAAAGGCAATTATCCAATTGCTTCTACCTACCCTGAAAGAAGTGGACCTTTAAAATGAAGTACAAAGACAAAATCAATAAACAGAAATAGTGTTTCTTTTGATACTCACCTTCTCCATCACCAGGTCAATCATGTTGATATTTGAATTGTACAGTATCTTCCCATGTAATAAAGGTTTCAGGAAAGTCCATAGCAAAGCCCCATTAGAAGACTGCAAAATCTCCTGATAAAGTTTCAGGCAAAATGGAGCTGCAAAAACAAAGACAGACTCACATTTAAGACAGACAATGCAGGTAAGGTTGGATTATTATTATTATTATTTTTAATTCAAAGAAAAGCTTGAGTCTTAATTTAGGATCTGCCACAGTACCATGTCAAATGCCATCCAACTGCCACTAAGCAATCACTACAGGTCCATGAATAGAAATTGTTTAACCACAGTCTATGATCGCGTTGAGGATGCAGAACTCTCAACGTTAGACAAGAAAAAAAGAATCAGAATCCAAAGAGCTTCTCACATTTGTGAAAAGCGGCCTGTGAATCCCATCTATCCTAAAAGTTACATTAGTGCATTTTAGAGTGGAAGGACACATGCAAAACCTCTGCCCACAAAATGAATGCTGAGGGAAGAGTCATCTTAAAAAAACCAGACTCACTCCACACCCTTGGTTGTTCTGTAGCTTTCTATTCCTACTTAAGAAAGAAGTAAGAATACACAAATACCTTCACAAATATAGACGTTTTATTTGTATAATTTTATAAGAACCTACCAAAGATACAGGAAAATAATTGGCATAACACTTAACTTCTTGATTTGAAAAATCTAATCAATTGACTTTTCCATTCCTTAACCAAAGACCATGTTCTTACATCAGATGGGGCTATTAATGCGTTAGGGTGTATGTCCTTCAGAACTAGGATCCAAGGAATAGCTTCCAAGATATCCCACTGCACTTGCACTCAAGTAAAGGCAATAAGTTTCCTGTGAGAAACATTTAGAATTTTATGCCCAGCTCATGTGTTTTGGGGTTTTTTTATTTTTTGTTATGAGTGGATTTAGAAATATCCCATTTCCAGTGCTGTGGGGAAATATTAAATAACGTCATTAACTCCTCAAGGAAGACAAATTATTGTACATAATGGAAAACTAGGCCAAAAACATTTAAACTCCTGCCAAAAGTTAAAGAAATAAGTGTCAGAAATATATCATTAAGAACACCCAGTTCTTTGCCCAAATTTTACTTTCTTCAAGGAAACAATCATTACTAAACACAGTTATTGATAGATGACAGAAAAGAATTAGGCTCCAAGCTGGCCAGTCAGAAACATCAATATGCTAGAGACAAAGACGACTTGCTAATCTGAGTTTGCTATGATTTTCAGAAAGTCATTGGCAACTGTCTGGTACACAAAATACATACGACTTAATCACTGTGACGGAGTACAAATCGTTTCTGTGGTCTTATATAGCTTTTTTATTTTCATTTTCCATTGCCCCATTTACCAATTTGTAAAACATGGGAAACTGTTAACTCACTCATAGGAATGCTGGAACTAACTGATACTTTAAAGATGTTTCAAGGTTCTAAGATAAAAGGTCTTACAACACTCCAGAGTTGTGCCAATACTTTAAAAAAAGAATCATCAAGAAACAGATAGTACTTCTGGCCTAAACAGCTTTGAAAGAGACTAAGTCCCAAACAATCTCTCTAATCAGCCATCCTGCTAACTCCATTCTTCAAATAGGAAAGAAAAGCAGAGCTGCCTGCTTACTGTTATCCCACACACAAGTGAAGAAGGCTGGGGCAGAGCTCTGGCTCCCTCCCAGGGATCCCAGCCAAGCCAGAGTCAGTTTCTGGCTGTAGAAACTGATAGATGATAGAGCCATGATTCACACTCACAGATCCTTCCCTAGTGACACTCTATCACTGTATTCTTCTCTTGCACAGGGCCACTGAGACACTAACAAGGTTATTAACAATATTAAAATTAATCAGAGTAAGTCAAATGTATATTGAGGAAAGGGAGCAAAGGTGAAATTATATAAAAGCTAAGAGATTTTCTGGGCACTTGATAATGAGAATAGGAATATCAACTATTAAAAAACTTATCCAGAGAGCTTGCATATTTTACTGCACAATAATACCACAGCTTTGCGTTCACAGAAGAAAGGCATGCAGCAATAAATTCTCAATCTTGCATCTCAAAGATATATTTTTAATACCAAGTGCTTTAAAAATTCTAATAAATATGTCTTTAAGATGGGAATATTCTTATTTATTATTTGCAAAGATAGAAAACAACCAGAATCACTTGTGTCTCATCCACAATTATCTCATAGCCATAAAACTTTTATTGATCAACCCTTGTGCTCAGGATTACAGTGTCAACTGAGATGTCAGCTGATATATAAATGTTTCCATTTAAGAGGGAAAAACTTCTCTAAACTCTGAATGCATATATGCAACTTGTGATTGATAGTTTTTCTTACTTGAGTCTTCAGGAATGCTGTATTTTGCCATATTGTCCTCCAAAAGTCCCATGATTCTGGGCATGTCGATGAACAGGTTTGTATTGCTGAAAAATGAAGATTCTTCTTTACACACTGCCTTGATTAAAGACTCCAGGGATCCAACAGCTGAACTTCTGAACTGCCCACCTTGCAAGAACTAGAACAAACAAACAGAAATACAGATGAATCAAAGTCGCTTTTAGTAGCTTCAGGGAGTAGCCCTGGTGTTCGTTCAATATTGGCATCCAAGGAGATTGAGAAAATTAGACTGTTGAAACTGCCTACAAGAATGAGGTCCTGCTGTGCTCTTTTCTGTTCTCCTGATCACCTTTATTATGAGGGGGGAAAAAAGGTAATGCAGTTTTAATTGCCAGGATACTCGATGAACAACAGTAGTATAATGTACTACATTAAACTGCTAAAAATACTGTGTATCAGTTAGGCAGAAAAAGAATGAAAATATCAAGACAACTGGACTACAGATTCCTTGGTTACAAGGTCAGTTTTCACAAAGTCTGCTCTTCTGGTAGATTACTCCTGTGTCACAAAGACAGCAGAAACAACCAAAACTATTTTGCATATGAAAGTTTGCAGTGAAAACAGTTGCTAAGAAGAAAAAAAAATAAAGTGCATGTGCCCTAAAAGCCTATTTTTCAAGTACATCTTTTAACTTGTTAGATGTGCTTCTAGTTTTTGCACATCTTGAGTCATACCAGCATTTATTATTGCCATTTACTCATGACTAGCATACGTCTAATGAGGAGAGCAATCTGACTGCTTTTATGGCTTAAGCACCATCATTCACCTCATTCAAAAAAAAAACCAAACAAAACAAAAACAAACCAGCCTCCTCTGTGCAGCTTCATTTTTCAAATAACGTGCTCAGTTGTCATTGGTATCTCATGGAAGGCTATACAGGTGCACAGTTCTAAGAGAAGATACAACTGCAAGGCAACGTGCTGCTAGAGTATGACTGAAGGATGCATTGGCCTGCCTGATACTCATTACTGTTGCAGATGCTTGTCAAGAAAAACATAACTAGACTATCAGATATCATTTGAAGACTGCACAACTGGCAAATAGAAAAAGACTGTGATATGTCAACCAAACACATCTGACACTGAAATAAATTAGCATTTTATCATTGGAATTTTTTTTTTAAACAGAAGAGTCAATTTTCGAAGTAGTTCCGCACTTTACAGAAAGAATAAATCACAGACAGTTTAGAGATTGTGCTGTTAGAAACAGTTTATCCTGATCAATGCATTTACTGAAGTGCCAGGTGCTTCTTTAGTAATCCTGGAGGAATATTAGAAGTGTTATTTAAAACTCAGTGTTGGCTGCTCCCAAAATCTGACTTTTTGCATACGGTTTCAGCATACAACATAGTAAATAAATAATATCCAGATTTCATAATATGATCATCTACAGCTTTTGAATGAGTCTGCTGGCATGGACTTTACTATTAGTATTAGTGACTATTTGCACTAGAAGGTTAAATGAGGCTTATTTCAGTCAAAGAGCACAAACTTGCTAACTAATTCCAGTTCCAATCAAAATAACTTGAAATTCAAATAATGAATATTTATGCGGTAAGCTACCACCAACAGACTGAATCTACTTACTGTCTTTCAACTAAATATCCACTGACTCAATAAGATACGTCTCCTAAAATTTGGCTTTGATAAAGTGGGAGAACTACATAGGATGGATATTCACAAAAAGTTATCTTTGATCCAGTTGTTTTAGTTTAAACTAAATGAAGTAGGTCTGTAATCAAGGCTGATGAATCCAAACAAGCAGCCTCCTACAAACAAAATAAGTAGTCAAGCCAGTCACTCCAACAAATTCATGGAAGAGGAAGGATGGTACTGAAGATCAGAAAGCTATCTGGAACTAGATTCTCAAATGCTGGCAAAAACCTCATAGCGTAGGGGCTTCTGACCTAATTGGACAGCTGTATGCTTAAAAAAAGTATTATGAATAAAAACAATTCATGTGGAGTAGAAATACCAACTATTCAACAAAAGAAACCTAAAAATCAAGCCAGGTTACAGCTTGCACATAAAACTAAAATAAATTCAGAATCATTACATTGAGAGAGAGAGAAGAAGAAAAAAAAAAAGCAATTTTCCTGGAAAACTACAAGGACGTTAAAGATAATTCAAAATTTGATGAAACTGAAGGGCTGAACGAAACAAATGCAGATAAATAGATATTCCTACTTCTGAGTAAAGCCATGAAAATCCCAAAGTTGTTATTGTACTGAAATTGACAGAATCAGGGGAAACAATGGCAAAATTGCTGATTTGGTTAAATTTTTTCAGAAGAGCCTATCAAATTTAGATGGCTATATTTAGAAAGCAATATTTGAAGGAAAAGTAGAAAATTCATCTATATTCAAGAATGAGTGACAAAATGCTCCAGGAAATAATGGATATCTTGTTGTGATGTTTAATAGATATACAACAAATTTTAAAGTGGAGAGCAGTTAAAGGCAAAAAGTATGTGAGGAGTAAAATTGAATGCATTATCAAATTATCATTCCAGACCAATACAACGTATTTATGTGGGAAGGCAAGTGCTTTTTCCCAAAAAAGACATATGCTTTCTCTAAACTAAGTAAACTCTAACAACCAATTAATGTTCTTGTCCTAGAAAATATTAATCAGCATTAATCCAATAACTATGTGGTGGGTAAAAAATGGCATTAAGAAGATATTGCAGGGACTCTGTTAAAAGGAAAGAAAACATTGGATCACAGAGAAGTTTCTAGTGTTACTCCTGTGAGACTGGTCTTAGGTCTACTGTGATAAGTTTTTTAGCCCTGAAAGAAGCAAATTACTGAAATTTCCCCATAATTTAATACCAGAAGGTATTGCAGGAGAAAAGAAGATCAGTATGCAATATGGCAAGAAAACAATTACCTAATTTAAAGTAAATTGCATATAAAGATAACCAGTGCAAAACATTATTTATCAACTGAAATCATGAGATACTGTTATAAAATGGAGCTTACCTGGGTATGTCACTGATCCTTGAACAAGTAAGAGACAAAAATGCATGCAGCTTACGAAAAAGGTGAATGCAAGATTAAGAAAGTCATTTTAGTAGGTATAGACATGAATGAGCAGAACTGCAAGAGTCATCAGCCATAATTCCCCTCAAAGACTGTACACATTTCTTGTCACCAACATTCAAGCTTAGCCTTAACACAGCGTGCGAAGATGAGACTAGGCTGTCTGAGACAACTGAGACCCTGTTATAAAAGAAAAAAACTGAAACAAACAAAACAAATACTAAAATAAATCTATTTAATCTATCAAAACAGAGAAGGACTATGACTGGCCTTCCACAAGCACATGAGCAAGTCAGAGAAGTTATAAAAGCTACAGAACATTTTTGATACAAAAGTAAACATACTAGCCATGGATAAACTCAAGTCAGAATTTTATACACTTATAACACCAAGAGGCTTTTCAGTAATGATAGTTTTAACAGAGAACTTGTTCAAGCTAGTGGAGGGATTACAGAATGAGGCCACCTTTCACAACTGACAGCATCCAGTAACTCAGCAAGTCCCCTCCAGCTTATCTATTCATGAGTGACAAACATACCAAAAATTAGCTATGGAAATATAAGCAAATAATTTCAAACAGCAAACAAGCAAGCAAAAATCATGATCGAAATCAGCAGTGTTTTTCCTTAGGGAGTTATCCATTCACTCAATGTTGTTAACAGTAGATGTGGCTCTGTATTCCAATTACTACTGACTGGCAGATACTGAGTTTTTACATCATCTTTTATTATACAATATGTAGCATACCAATTCAACTTCACATTTTACACATACTTTAAAGGTATTTCTTGCTTTTCATCTTGTCTTTTCAGACAAAAATCCACATGTATAATTGACAATTACTTTATTACCTCTTTCATTATAGCTTTTTTTTTTTTTAAATCAACTTCAAAATAATTTTTTTCAGTTAGAAGTTAATGAAGGAGACAATCTGTCTTACTCTATGCTGAAGGTCCACATGTTTTTGCTTTAAAAAGCTTTACATACTTTATTTGGTAATCTTCCTAGGTCACTGAACTACTTTGCTGTTGGTCCATCCAGAAGGATGGACTCTTTTGGAAATAGATGAAAATATTTAAGGAGGAAAGTGTATAAGCAATATCTGCACTTTAGTCGCACACTTATTCATAGCACAAGTTTGGCCACTATAGAAAAGAAGCAAACAAAATAATCAATAATTCAAGGTAGTATTGGAAAGCAGAAAAAAATCCAGTTAAACTTGAAAAGGAAAGGATACTTAAAAATAAACAACTTTTACTAGTCTAAAAAATGAGAAAAAGTTACAGAGACAGAAGAGCCCTTCAAAACATGCATCATCTAATTTATTAACAAAAGAAATAGACACTGAATTTTTTAATCCTCTACAAATTATTAGGTGACAAAAACAAACAGCAATTTCTCAAGAAAAAAGGAATTAACAAAAACCAATAAAATAAAGATTGTGTCAGAAAAAGTGACCAAAAAAGGTAAGATGTAAAAAGGAACAAAAATTCCAAGGTTAAATCTATGCTATATTACAGGATAATATAGGTTGCCATGGAGCAAAGATTAAAACTGTGACCAGATGGCCCTCTGCTGTTCTATTTGTTCCTTTGCAGACTTTTTTTGAACAGGACCTTTTGAGACATTCTTCTATCAAATAAGCAACTTTGGGATTTCACTCCAAAAAGAATACTTCAGTTATTCGAAGGAAAGTTTGACACAAACAGAACTAGATTAAGGAAAGCAGAAAAGATGTAAGCATCTGAAGAACGCCACCTTTCATTGTGGCAGCGAAAGAGCTACCCCAAAGAAGAGAGGCTCAAACACAAAACTAATATGCACAGAAAACCATTTTACAACATGCCTCTTTGTCACACAGATTAGAAGATCTTGAGAAAGATTCATATCACTAGGGAAAACAGTATTTAAGGCAGTGCTTACTCTGTACTGTAGTTACAAACCGGTTTGCACTGTTTACCACTGAGGGATCTCTTAGAGGTTCGTAATTTTAGAACCACGTTCAATCCTAAACTTTCTACACAGAATAGCAAATCCAGAAGGTAATGCCATAGGGATCAGCAGGTCTTCTTATGGAATTGGACCTTGCTTAGAAACAGAAATCTTTTTTCTGATCTATTTGATAGTAGATCCACCACTGTGCTAGCTGTATAGATGCGCACGCAGCAACTGCCCTTAAAGCCAGGGACAAAAGAAATATCCTCACTCACACCTCATGCCACTTTTTTTAAAATGTCAAGCAGAACTATCACACAAAACCCTTAAGTGACAGAAACAGAAACCCATGGCAGATACAAGAACTGCACGTTATCTTGAAATCTTATCCTATAAAAATGCAAAGTTATTTCTTATAAACAAAGTAATAGTCTGCTCATCAAAAAAAAATCCAGCATTAGCAGAAAAGGCATGGCTATCTCCAAATCACAGATAATACATGCTATTATTAACCAGTAGCCTAACACCATATTAACTTAGGCTATGATCTCATAAGTTAACAAAAAAAGAGATGACAGAAACAACACATTGATAGTCTCAAAATTACCAGTGTGCTTGAAAGAGACCAAATTAATCTTCCTAGGGTCTATGCATTCTCTTCTCTCCAAGTTCACAACTTTCTAGGACACAATTTCTATCTGTGTTCCTCCTTACTAAGCAGACATCCCTAACAAAGCACCTCACAATGGGAATTAAGTTTGCATATTGAAATCATACACATACCTGCTGCAATGCAGAGATGTCAAGCACACCAGTATTTTGAATTCCTTGGAGGAACACTGGAAGGTTTTCCATGACATGATGGGCTTTATTGAGAAGAGAGCTGATACTAGAAACCACATCCAGTAGCATGTTTAGTACATTGCCTATCTCAGATGGTATCTTAATCTTGGAAAAGAAGGAAAAATCACAACAATAAATTCCAATTAGAAACAAATTTTAACCTTTCAATGAAACACTCAAAATTATTCAGTCTTTTTCTAAAACTGATTATACAATGTTCCTGCAAACCATGTTTAACAAAACTCCTTTTATTATAACTCCCCGGTTGCTCTCAAATTCAGCTAAAGAAACATTCTCTGTTAGAGAGATGTTAGAACTGGCCTATGACAAATCAGGAATTAAAATCCAGAGAACACGTTTATACCTACCAAGCTGAAGAGAGCTCTCCTACCTAAGATGCTAATGGGATCTGCAACACTCTGCCACCTTAGAACTCAGTGTAAATGAGAACTTTGCCTTCAACAGGTTCAAGATGCTCAATGCAACAGTTTAATATTTTTAAAATAATTCATAAGTTAAATTAAATCTACCAACCCCTTTAGTTGCTTTAGGAATCATATTAGACAACAAACTTTCCTGTCACACTGTTCCTCCCTTTGCATTTTTCATGCGTACTGCCTTTTACCTAAAATAATTGCATGTATTTCATTTCCTACTTGACTAAAGTTCAATTGGCTGTTTGCTGTTTCCACCATGCAAGTTTTGGCATTTTGAATTTTCTTTCTATTTCCTTTGCTTTTATAGGTTATTTAGATTATATGGTAATACAAACTGATTTATTGTTACCTGCCTATGCATGATAATAAAAATAATATAATCTCATTATATACTTTCAGCTGCCTCCTCTGATTATCTTTATTTTATCCACCTTTATTTGACTTCCTACTATAATAATGTCTGTGCTTAATTTTCTTCTCAACCTTTACCTGCTTTTACACATTAAAAAAAAAAAACTGTAAAAAAAAATCTTATTCAGTTAAAAAAATAGCAAAACTTCCATAATAATTTAGGATGAGCTGACAACGTTTTTATTCTTTGCTAGGAATTCATTATGCTTCAGTAAGGCTCAGTAGAAAAGCCCATAAGAATAAGCACTGTTTTTTTTCTTTTTTTTTTTCCCCCTCTAGGTTGGCAGATAATTCAGAAAGTAGAAGTCTTTTCTTTTCCCTCTGGTATCTTAAACTATTCTGGGAAATGTCTTGTTTTTAAAAGTGTGTGGCCAACCTGTTTAACTGCGCATGCTACATCCAGAATATAACCCGGCATCTACGGCTTTAGAACAAAATATTCTTCCTCCCAATGTTATGACTATTTTTCAGCTATTTGTACTTACAACATTTTATGTTCCATCAATCAATTACCCCAAAAGAACTGAAATAAATGTCTGCTATCAGAAATCCCATACAATAATTTTGCTCTTACAAGTAAAAACACTATCTCACTGAAAACCCACACTAGATCCCAGATTATCTACGGTTCTACAGACAATACAGTTTTGCTACAGACTTCTGCATCCCCTTCATTATAGTTTTGGCACTGTATTATTCTTGTCAAAGTCGTTTGACTTGGGTCATATAAAATATAGGAGGTTTGCCCTCATAGAGAAACTCATCCTGAGAGCTGGAAAAGCTCCTTCCTGAAGGAGCCACCTGAATTGCCAACATGATTTCTATAGAAAATAAAATACATTCCAGAGTGCTATGAATTTTTCCTAGAAAATAATTTTGTAATTCTTGTAATGTGAGCTCCTATGCTTGTTTTAGTTCCAATGATGTCAGATCAGTCTTCCACACTTACAAATTAAGAAGTGAGTAATTGCATGAACTGCAAACTCTGCTAAAGATTAATAAAACTATATCTTCGACCTCCTGTGTTTTCTCTAAACCTTTCATAATTAACTCCTCAGTGATAATTTTCCTGAGGAAGCAAGAAGTGGAATACAGTAACATCTACCAACCCCATTCTTCAACTGTTGTGTTTGCTTTGTGGAGCTAAATGAAGACAAAAAATGCCATATGCCCAGTGTTTGCTTCCACAGAGAAAGAACACCTGAAGAAATAATAGAATTATTCATTTATCTACCTGCATGCTTTAGACCACGTTCAAAAGAAAAACATAGGGACTGAATGCTTTTTTTTCTCATCTTACCTTGTAAATGATATGACGTAATTTCCAATTCTGTATAATCAGTACAAACATGGTATACAAGTCCAGTGCTGGTAAAGAACATAATTCTTCCACTGCCAGGGAGGTTTTACTGTTTTCAGGTAGCTTTAGCAGCAGGCTAAGTACTTCTTCATCACATCTTCCAGTTAAAGCTACCACAAAGGCACTGTAAAAAACCTATCATAATGTATGTGTATTAAAATTTTTTCTCCCTGAAATGCATCACCTTCTTTTATAGTCAATAAGGTGAGAATTTGCGTCACAGTAACATGACAATTTGCAGTCATCAACAGGCCTGAAATAATGAACTATACAGGTCTATATCAGATTGGTATGTTCTTACTTTATATTCTATGTACATATAAAGAGATGAAGTAGATTTCTTATAAAGATTTACTTTCATTTGTGAACAGGTCGATCATTCATTCTATGAGCATTCATACTATAAGCAGGCATATTTACAATGCTGCACAAACCCATTCTAGCAGATACACACCTTTGTTGCAGAAACACCTAAAGGTCAAAATCTAGATGTATAAATCACTAAAACTAAACAATATGGACCTTCCTTCTTCCAGAGGACACACAAACTTAACACTTAGGGATGCCTATATGGCACAATGTTCACTCTGAGCCAGCTCACATTTCTCAGTTCAACACTCCTTTGAAGTGCTATTATTCAATAGTGGATGAAGGGACAAATGCCTAAGCAGGCCTTGGGCGAGACTACAATAAAAACTCCTTGGATAATGATGGTTTGTTTCTTCCCACGAAAATGTCACATCAAAAGACAAATGCTTGCGGCCCAGATATCTCAGGAGTTCTTAGCTACCCTTTCTCCTGAAATGCCTGAAAGAAAGCAAATGGCAGCAAGTCCAGAAAAATTACAAGTTCAGAGTCTGTAGGAGCCAAAGTACAGTACTGAGGGCTCCATTGTACTCCGTAGGACAGAACCTGCCTGTACTGCCTCCACTGAATGCATCTGTAGGTAGTAACAGTACTCAGTGAGGGAGAGGATCCCCAAGAAAATCAAATTAGGAGCCAAAGTTGGTCAAGATATGCAATTGAACTCTTTAATTCCTATTAAACATTTTAATTTCCAACTTACTAATTTGTCTTTTAGATTTTTATTCTGGAACAGAATTTTGCCTTTGTGATTCCAAAGGATTTCCTATATATTTAAATATTCACCTTTTTTGTGCGTGTACAAGGAGAGCAGACTATGAATATAAATATAATTCTGCTAGCAGCTTAAAAGGATACTGATTTGGACTTCTTGTTGTGGAGGAAATTTGAGTCTGTGATATAATTTGAAATTTGTTTCCTCATGCCCCACATGCATATCACCATTTCAGTCCAGTTTTAACCCATTCAGCGTTTTACCCACTAGATTAAGTCCCTCTGAACTTTCCTTGCAGCTTTGTGAGTACCAGAGCTAATCCAAACTCCTATATTCAGTAAATGAAAGCTTATAGTCTTCAGGTTACAGGTTTTGAGCAGTTTCAAAACACTTAATCACATGCCAATGAGCATGGCCAAAGCATAATATTGTGGTAGAAATTAAGGGTAAGTGCAATGAGCACAAACAACTCACAGGCTTACTCTTACCATTCCAGAGGCAAGCACAGTAGTAGTATAAAATGACAGAAATATAGGACTGCAGTGGGCCTGCAGCCATCATTAGGGTTATCAGACAGTGGCTATACATACCATAAACATAATGGGCATGCCTCCATTATAGCTTAAAAAAGTACTTGTGCGTCTTGCATAATCAGTAAGAGACCCAGGCTTTAATGCTCCAGTTGAACTGGTGGAGGATTTAAGCACTTAAGCAAACAAAAAAATTCTGTATAGGTATGCAAATGTGAGATATGTACATATATCTAAACTCTACACAGGACTTCGGCAAAAAATAAGGATAGAAAGTCATTTGAAAATTCAGTCAATTAGCATTATTATTCCAAAAGATCAAAGGTGCACCGAATCCCATTTAACTGAATCGCTTCCAGATGACTTCTCTCATTACCATTTACCGGTATCAAAATAACAAGCTAACAATAAATGCAGTCACACTGCCAGAGAAGCAGAAGAACAAATCATCTATAAGTAGTTAGGATGGTCTGAACTGCCTTTTTAATAGCCAGACTTTTCACGAACAAAACTTGCAACTGTTTCTGCAAGCGGAGCATCAGTGACACCCAGTGGCTGCTTGATTGACCTGATTAGTTTATACCAAATGTACCCCCAACTCTTTTCAGTCACACAATCATTAACAGGAGAGAGAACCTGTAAGTTAGGGGGCATTTTTCGTGATTTCTACTAATCACTGGGATCACAGGAAACAGCAGCAATGATAACACACACAGTCCTTCGCTCAGAAAAGTTACACAATCCACCCTTCAGACAATACTCAAAAGACAACAGATAAATAAAGTGGAGGTAAGGCAAGATACTGGTAAGATAATGTAAGAACAGTGAGGAGCGCACAAAGGAATACAAAAAAATCCAACAACTTGGTACTGTGAGGATCAGAGGTGGGAAGATACAAAATGATTTCTCCGGGAACCCTCACCTTTTCTACAGTACCAAGATAGCAAAGCTCAAATTCTGTGTCAACACAAGGGGTAAAACACTGCTGAAAGTAATGAAGCAGTGCCATTTAGACCAGGGAACTAGTGCTACTATAAATTGATCTCTTAATGTTTCACATTATTATTTTGAAGCCCTGAATCTCACAAAATATTCCACATAGAAGTGACAAGTGAAAATAAAAGATTCCACACAAACAAGGTGGTTTGTTTTGTTTCGGTTGGCATATCAGGTTATAGGTTGAGCCATTAATTTAACACCTCTTTTCAATCTTTTACCTTTGAATGAGAGATACTGGCTTCCAAGATGGTACTGACAGTTTCTTCAGAAATATTGACAGAAGAACCAATATCCAGTCTCAACTGAGTAAGATTGTGCACACACTCTTTGACTTTCATATCTGGAGGAGAAGAAAAATAGTGCCAACAGTACCAATCTGGTTAATTAAATTGCCCACAGACTGTATCCTTTTCGTTAGATTTATTCTGAGGGGTGATAAAGGATACAAAAACTTCATATCATGTAATTCACTTCTACTTCAAGTGTAAAGGTCACTCTTCTGGCAGACTGAAGGACTTGTGCATCTGTTTGCATTATCCTATAAGAGCACAGGTTTTCCAACATCCCTGTATTATGAGAACATCTGAAATTAGTGAAGCAGTCTTTAGTCCTTTAAGTTTTTCTTTTTCCGCTAACTTAAGTCCCTTCTTCTTTCTAATGAACCCCTGCATCTTATTGGACAGGCTTTGACAGGGTAAACTATGCTGTCCTGTGCCAACTCAAGCGCATGTATGTGCACATGTGTACAATGAAAATATATTGCATTAAATCAGTAGTCTTCATAAGCAGTATCCCTTTCAAGTTTGAAGAACAATGAAAAAGTTATTGCCTTGCAAAATTACGCAGCAGTGACTTGTAAAAAAGTGAAGAAAACTGGAACCTACCATTCAAAAGATTAAAATTGCTGAGAAAAGCTGCCACTGGATTTTCTGACAACTGTAGCTTCAAATTTTCAGCCACCCTGAAACAATAGTCTTAGTTTCACAAGTTATCAGAACTAAGTCATTGACACTACTATGTGTAAAGAGTAACGTGAATAGTGAAATAGCCACTAAATGATGCAAAAGGGTCATATTATGCTTCATGTGCAGACACTGTGCATGCAGTAAGCAACTCTACAGACCTTCTCATGCTGTATTATATGGTGCCGGGATCATCGTATTTCATGCCTAAATAAGATTGCAAACGTAGAGATTGTCCCATGATGGCTAAGTGCTCTAGCAAACAGTAGCTTATGGAGAAGCACAGGTCTAGCAATGTCTCACTTCCATGTTTCTTACTGAACACATATTTTTAAAACCTAGAGATACTAAGCACTGCAGTTCAGGATGAATAAAGTCTAATTGTAATTTAAGTAATAAAGAGTATACAAACATCAGATATTATTTACCATTCAAAAACTGGACATGAGTCTATGGTCCATAAGAGCAGCATCTAAGCTCAAGTTCTTCTGTATTATTACTATAATTCACAGAGACCATTCAAGCCCATTATGAAAACAATCCAACAGTCAGACCAGTATAGCAACAATTATAAAAAGGACCACCTCTAACTGACAGCAAGTTTGAAACACTCTATAGTAGCAGTTTTATTAATTTAGTTAAAATCTACTATTTTTCCTCAAGGGAACAGCAAATATCTGAAATTATTTGGAGTTCAAGCCTGTCAGTTTACAAGCACCATCCTGTGTTTCTGACTGTTTGAACTGCTGAACTGATCTGAATGTTTAAAGTTTTGCAAAAGGTATCCAGCTGCTGAGAGGAGAAGGCCACAGCAAAACAGATTTAAATAAAAAAATTAAGATATCAAAATATTGACCTAACTGAGGTCACGGAAAACTGAAAATTTTCTTAGTTGTGATTCAAAGCATTCTCCTCATGGAGAAGCAAGATCTGCTGCAAGTGCTCAGCAAAAGTGTAAGGGCTTTTAGAAATATTTTAGTAATTTAGCAAAATTCTGGATAATTTGTGCATTGTATCCACTCAATTTTCAGTTAAATGAACAAAGCTTAAAGAGACTTTGATAAACAGTATTTCTACTGTAATTACATAATTTAGAATACAGACATATGCACAAAATAACATCTCTAACAAGAACCATTTGGGGTACCAAAATGTAAAAAGCTTTACATTTGCAGTCGTCTCTGTATGTTCCCCAACGTTAGTTGACATTCACAGCTGCCATTGCTGGTATTCTGCAAGGCTCTCAGGAAGCTCTCCCAAGTATTGGAAAGTTTTTGGTTTATATATGCCATACTCTCACAATCCCCCTTGTTGAAAGCAGGCCACATTCTTTCAATATCCTGCAAAACACAGTGATCATATGGTTAGCAAATTAATGAGATTATGTTATTGCTTGAAGTAGCAGGTCTTGGCAATTAGATGATGAATATTTTCGAATGAGAATATGGGTAAGGTAATACTCTGTTACTCATTGTATTTGTAAGATAGAGAGGTTTTCAAGAACCAAGGAATTTTCAAAGATTTGAGTTTTGGAAACAACAAAAAATATTTGTGAATTTGACCTAGCCTATCAAGGAGATTCATCCATTAACAGAAATGCCAACATTTTCATTTGAAATTTAATTTCAAAATGAAATGAGCTTGTCTTTTTTTTTATTTTAGGCTGACCATTTTTCTCTTTTTCCCAAGGAATTGTTCCAAACAGCATCAGTTTCCATTCAGCTAACCAAAATATCTAGATACCCATATCCAAAGTTTTTCTTGCATTATGCTTTGTGTAGTATTCACTTTTATCTTTTCTCCTGAATATTCATATTTCTGATTTTGCAAGGGTTTTTTTAATATTTGCAGACACAGGTCATAGAATGGTGGTGACTACAGAAATGCATTTGTTCTGCAAAAGTCTACTTTGAGATATGAGTGATGCCTCTGACGTCTGTTTGCCTTAAAACATTGCTGTTCATATCAGCAAAATGTTCAGGTAGACAAACTGGCAGAGATATTTTATAAAGAGGAGGCAAATTCTATACTAAAAGCATGACTTTAGTGTTTTGTCTGTGTGTGCACGCATGTGTGCGCTATCCAAAGGCTTGCTTCCAACTCTGGATGAGTCTTTAAACGCCAAATGTTACTCTCTCCTGCTGGCAATTTCATGCACTGTTAAAGAAAAAGAGACTGACCCCAACTGGTAATCACAATTGCTATTTTAGCTTGAATGACTCTGGCCAAGAAGTTTATTTGTATCTAGCTTGATTTCACACCTGTTCCTGTGAAGATTTAAAAGTATAAAGGTACTCTGATTCATTAAATTAGCAGTATCACAAAATGTAAAGGAATTAAAAATGAGATGCTGTTTGGTATTGAATGGCAATCTAGTTATTCTAGTTATAGGAATTCTAGTAATTCTAGTTATATTTACAGCTTTCAAAGCTCACCAATGTTTGCTTAAGGAATTCCTTCTGGGTATCACTATCAAAAGCATCAGAGCTATACCCATACAAACCTCTGCTTTGTATAGTCACTGTGGGGACTCATCATTCAGACAGTAGGAAAAAAATAAGACATTTTCATTAGTTTCCAAAGTTTAATGCATGTTGTAAAGAACACTTGTAGGTGTGGAAACCACTCAAACCTGATAACGATCTCGAACCAGGGTGACTCCTTCAATGACAGAGAGGATTAAGTGACTTGTTAATCCATCTTTACACTTTGTAACAACACAGAAAAGGTTGCCAATGACAACTGGTTCTTCTGTAAGAGAAAATGTCCAGGCTTAATCAGTTAAAAAAATAAATAAATTACTGTAATCAGATGAAAATTTATAACCAAATAATAAAGGACAGAAAAGTTTTTAAAAGCAAAGGAAGTCTGATGTGTTAAGGCACTAAGAAATATTTCTGGCTAAACTTATTTGTCATTGCAGAGGGCAAGAAGGGCTAGTTTGAGTCAATTTCCATTACTCTTCTCCATTACACTTTCCTGATCAATAATAAGAACAGCAATACCTGCTACAGAACCAGAGGACAAAACTTCATTTTTGCTTTTTGTGAGCAAGAAGCATAACTTTGAGAAGCTGTGTATATTAACCACATCTACCTCCTCCTCAGGCAGGCTCCCCTGATCCTATTTCCCTGTGGAGGTATCAGGATGCTATTAACCCTCCAGTGAGTAGTAACTTTCAAACCCTAGCTGCAAGGGGAGGGAAACAGCATTACACAGACATTTGGCGTATCTAGGGATAAAGAATCCATATAGGGGATATTTATCACCTGATCATCCATGGAAGAAGTTTCTACCCAAGCTTGCAGCCCCCATGTCCCTGGAAAAAAACTCCATTCCCCTGCCTGTAGTGGGTTTGTACATGGCATAGCAGGGAAGGAGTTTGGCTTGACAGTTGAATTCTGGTTTCTGGAAGGATCAAGTTCGGTTTTTCCCCCATGTTTTTTTCCTTATGTTTGGTTCATAAGTCAAGAAGGAAGAATAATAAACATTCACCACTGCTTCTAAAACAAGCAAACCTCGATCTTGCTCACAGAAGTAATACAATGTAACTCAGTAATGCAAACTAACTCAAGCAATTTTCATCTTTTCTCATTAGGTTTCGTAATGTTTTCTGTATCAAATGAAACATTATGAAACATCCCTCTGTCCAGAGTATTGAAATAAGAATGACAAAAATTTAGTTCCTTAATCTCAGTTCTCTCAATAAATAGACTGTTCTTTGGAGGTGAAAGACAGATCCCAGGTACCTGGCACACATTTTCAGTATCACTTATTCTGAGCTCAACATTGCTACTCTTTTACTCTTTGGGAACTACATCAGTCACAGAAGAGTGGAAAGATAATCAGAACTGGGTTGTAATCACATCTTAGGTTTTGTCTGGAAATAAAGTGGGCATAAGACATTACTGACCTCATCCCTTGCTCTAGAATGGCAGCTTAATGCCTCCTAATCACTCTTTGCAAACAATTCTGGGCATAGTTGGGTTAAAATATGAAGTTTGAAAAGCAAAGGCTTTGGTTTCCCCCAAGAAAACATAATATGAAATTACACCCTTAGGTCAACACAGAGCCTTTCTCAAAGTGCACATCTTGGGGGCCTATATGCAAGGAATAAAACAAGCCTAACACAATAAAATTTGAACAATTTGTTGAAGGTGAAGTTATTCAGCTACTGTTAGCCAATCCACTGGCTCAATACGGCCAGAAGTGGGAGGTGCCACTTCCTTTATATACTTGCCCCATTTTTCCTTTCTGTCAGCTATATGCTGCCTTGTGGCAACTCTGGCTCATTAAGAAAACCTCTGTGACTTGACTCAGTTCACTAGCCTCACAGAAAAATATCCGGTAAAAAAGATAAGACAAAACCCAAATGTGTATACAGTCTTCTGCTGGGATTGTGAGTCAAATCAAAAAAGGATGAGGTCCTGGTGTGTCAGAGTAAGCGCAGGAGGAAGGGAAAGAGCACATGGCTAAAAATGAGAGAAGAGGAGCTGCAGGACCTCCTGCTTCCACTGAGATTTTGAATCAATGTGACCACTCCAGAAAGAAATCATCCCTTTATGTGTTCTGCATCAAAATTTTTCCTGTGCCTCTGTTGGTTTAATTTCCACACATCAGTATGCTTGCCTTGCTTGGCATCACCCAAATTAACTTATTTTTACAAAAGGTTCCTCAGAGTAAAGCCTTAACATTATAGTACTAACATGTCCCCCCCCCCCCCCGCCACTACTGTGGTAACCAACCTGAAAAGGTTTTAAGAACATGCAAAATGGTAAACTGCAACTTCTGCAATAGTAGGACACTAGCAGGGTATAAATGTTTCTGAAGAATCTTGCAGGTTTCAGATGCTCTGTAGAAAGATTAATAAGAAAGCATTATTTTCATAACAAGGGTGGCACAGAAAATTTTCAACAAGTGACTATGCACGGTTGCAACCTTCAATGGGCCATATAAGGATTTCAATATTAACAGTTGTTATATTTGTCTGAACTATTTCAAAATCAGAACATAATACTTCCATTGAAAAAAACCCAAACAAACAAAAAAAACCCCAGGTTTTCATCAAGGTAACAAGTCATCAGCTTTCTTAAGACCTTAGGAGTGCTAGAAAGTACCTTAGCAAAATAAGCAAAATCATAATGGCTTCAGAAATACTGAGAGTCCACAGCATACTGACTTGATAGCAAAAAGCAGAATACTCAAAATCTCTGATCCTCAGCATTTGGGGAAAATAAACCACTTTCTTAGTATTTGCTTTTGATTTTTCAACAAATCTGGCTAATACCTGGCCCTGCTGACCGCTGGTTTGACATATTTGCATAAAGTTAATCATAAAGGTCTAAATACCACATCAGAGTTCATGCATCAACTTCAGTATGCCGTTTCTCAGCTGGTCTATGTCAGTAGGATCAGTACCTCCACCAGCAAGACAAGCTAGAGCTGTTTGGAGCAACCATCTTGTGGGATTCTTTCAGTGAGTATTACTTAAATGCAGCAACTCCAGTCTAGCAGTACTTTTATTAAATAAGTTGTCAGTAAACATTTTCCTGAAGCAGAGTTTCCTCTGCTGCTGGATTACATTTGATTTGTGTGATCTGGCAAAAATGATCTTGGGCTCAAGATTCCTTCAGAAACTGTATTTGTTAAACTGAACAACTTAACACTATAACCATAGCCCCAAAAGGGACATATTGCTTGCATAAGTCATCAGCAAATTTAAGTTGAAGACATTTCAAATACAGTATATCTACATTTGGATATAGAAATTAAAAAAACCACCACAAAACATTAGTCCCAAGCATTCCTTAATGTTTAGCTCCATAGCCAAAATTACTGCTGTCCACCAATAACCATGGGTTCAGTGTTCAGACCTGCAAGTATCTTCAAATATTTGATTCTATAATAATTCCAAAGAAACCACCTCGAGTATCAGTACAGATGACTAAACCCATCAATAACCTGGTCCACACAATTAAAGTGGTACCAAATATGGCTGGTCTGAACAATATAAGTTCATACAAAATATTGTTTTACTCAAAGGCAAAAATCTGAAATGAAACAGTAATTAACTTAAAAGTTTTGACTGAGCTGTTTACAAACAAAGACCGCTTCTGTCATTGTCAGCACACTGTCAAAATGAGTACATAGAAAACGCTCACCTCATTTCTGCCATTATATCCTCATACAAATCCTTTAGTAAGAAGGTTATTTTATTCCTGTCACGTTCTGTGGTACACTGAAATATCATTTGCAAGATCTCTTGCATGATCTCCAGAGTTCTGTTTTGGGACTGAGTTCAAACTTCTCTATATTGTGCATTATCAAAAAATGAATCAATGAAGTCAACTATCTGAAGATCAATATTGTTTGTATGCAAAGCTTCTTCCATAACAGCAAGATCAGCAATTATATGAAGGAGACTGTTTAGCAAAACTGAATTAGCAGTATGAGTATTCAATTTTTCTCTGCTAAGACGACCATCAACAAACAACATACCAGTGTAATCTTCCTTAGACTTATTTTGGAATAGTTCCAGAAAGTCAATAATGTCTTTGACAACCAGCAGTAGGTCACTTGATGAATTTTCATTAGCCATAAGGAGAATTAGAGCATGCATTATTTTAGGATAATTTTTATTTTTACACTCGCATAGAAAGCTGTTCACAATCTCTTGTATGTCTTCAAAATTTCTTAACATAGCATCTACAGATGATGTATTAAACTGCTGTATTAAAGCATCAAAAGCCACTGAAGAGGACTGTCCAGTGGCTAACCTCAGTAATTGAAACTCTTGGTCTATCACTGCAAGTAAGTGTCTAACATTAAAATTCACCAATAAATCTTCTATGCTTGTAACTATAGGAAACCAGAAGTTCTCAAAGTTATCAGATATATTACTGTTTCCATTTAAAGCTGATAATATCATAAGCATTGAGTATGTCTGGTTTCCAACAGAAGACAGTGTCATTAAGGGTTGAATTACAGAAAGAAAAGAAAGGACAGCTTCTGTATCCAGGAGTCTAGAAACATCGCTGGTCATATTCTTAAAATTAGTAAGAACAGTCTTTATAAGTGATGTTCTTGAATGTCTGTTCCAACTTAGACCACCATAAAGATCATCCAGCTGTTCGAGAACACCTTTGGCCATCTCCATTTCTGCCACTGGCATACTGCCCAGTGCTTCTACAATTTGTAAAGCCACTTGTCTCTTCGGTGTGGAGGAACAATTGATTGAGTATGTATTATTCACCTGCAGTGGCACAGTGTAGAGGGATAGCTCATTCCAAAAATCTAGCAGCTTTTTGAGAACTGAGCCATTTACATGATGGAGGTCAGAAAACTTCAAAAGAATAGAGTTCCATTCTTTGATCTGATGAAAAAAGCAGGTCAGATTGCGAGTGATATCCATCTGGAAGTCTTCCATAGTGCATGAGGAACTGTCCTCCAGAGTGATGAGTTTCAGCTCCTTAACGACTTGGATGACTGCATTGTAACTAAGAGTAGAATTGCTATGCACAAACTCACAAGGTTTAAAGGTGGGATCACTCTGAGGTGTTGCTGTTGTGAGAGTCCAGCAGAACGCTGCAGAAAAACAAACTGAGGCCTCTGCAGGTTCATTAGACGTATCTGTCAGTGTCTCCAGTAACATTAGAAGACTTTCTACTTGATTAGAGAACTCCTTTGCAGTAAACATTGGCATTTTTGCTTCCTGAGTCAATATGAAAGCGTATACTTCAGTTAGTGCTTCCGTGATGTTTCCATGAGCTAATCTTTCTGTAAGGCTGTTGACATTGAGGAGGAAATGGAACATCTCTTCTACATCGTAGAGCTCATCTTGTTCAAAGAGTCGTGTTATTTGCCATAAGCCAGTCAGGTTCCAATTACACGAATTATTCTGAAATGCATCCCACCAGTCTGTTAACATTCTTAACTCAGAGTTCTCAATATACAAAGGTTTGATATTTTTAAAGAAATTATCTAGGCTCCTCTGGACTTGTTTGAATTGACTTATCAAGAACTCAACATCCACGTTCCTCATATTTTGCACCAAGGTTACCATATGCTTTAGAAACTCTTTACCATCTCTTAATGGAAAGCCAGTAAAACTAGAAGACTTGAAAATTTTAAGTGCCTTCCTTACCAGTTCAATATTCAGAGCTGCTGTTTCTATCAGTTTCTGGAGAAAGGTTTTGTGTTCACCCTGCAAGTTTGAGTCAAGTTTACTAAACACATCTTGAAAGAACTCCATCAACAAACTGGTATTTTTCTCATGCAAGAAAGGTTCAATCTCAACATCCAAATGAGAGGAGCTGCTTTCTTGGATTTCAAAAGTTTTATTTTTCAGAAGAGTTTTAATTCCTGCCAAAAGTTCAACTGATGAAAGCTGAACACGGTGAAAAGGATTAAGGAACATCCTTGAAGTCCTGTTAAATCCATGGATTGACTGACTAAAATGGGTCTTATTTGCTGTATACCGTGAGTGCCCCACTAAATCATTGACAACTGTTTGTATTTGCCCTCCAGAGTTATTTAAAAGCGTAAAAATAAATTCAAGCACACTGTCATCTTTTACATAAAATTCAGGGAGAATAAATTTTAAAGCTTTTGCTATAATATTGAAATAAATTTACACAAATCACATCAGAACCAGTTAGGGAACATTCAGGGAGTATCAAATTAAAAATCAAATTAACAAAGTCCATCACGTTCATTAGCTTAGCATCTCTTTCAATGTTTCCCAGAGATTTCAGTAGAAATAAAATATGTTTTGCACTTTCAAGGTGGGAAGGTGACTTGTATTTTTCACTGAGATTACTTAATCCACGTATCCATCTGTTACAATCCTCTGCTTCATCCACTGTACTATAAAAGTTTAGAAAGGAATTAAGATGAGATGAAAAATTTGTTTGCAAATGGCTTACATCTTTCAGAGTATTGTCCAAAATTAGTTTGGTAATATTCTGGAAAATGCTGATACAAACCATATATTTTCCTTGAGATACACTTTTAAAGAAAGCAGTTGTGTCTTTTATCTCAGCAAGAATAATTCCAAGTTCCTTTTGGGAGAGCTTGAGAATAGTAGAAAGGGAATTTCCAATAGAAAATACACCAGCACCCCTGTCTTCTCCCTCGGATCCTCCTGAGATGAAAGTATCAAGCCAAGAATTCAAAAGCTCTCCATTAACAACCTTCAGTATAGATTTCTGCAATTCAGTTATCATGACTCCCATCATTTCTAAAACACTTTCTAAACTGTTACTTTTAAGCGAGCTTGTGACATCAACTGCATTGTTAAATACATTTTGAAGATTAGCAAGGAAAGCTTCAAAATCTTTCCAGTCATTTAAATCACCACCTCCTTCAAATATGATTTTTAATAGATTCATTGCTTCTGTTGTAGCTTCAACAATAACCATAGCTGTATTATTGCACAGTTCATCATGAGTTGCATTTGAAAGACTTTCAGAGAGATTTGCCAAATCATTTCTTAGACAGACAAAAAAGGTTGAATTCAAATTTAAGATTTTGGATGCTTCTTCAAAAACCTCTGTCCAGGTTTGAAGCCATGTAAAAGTGCAGTGCAAAGCAGAAGGCACACTAACCTTATCTCCCAAGTTTGTTACATTAGACAGAACACTGTCCAATGGAAGCAGAAGTAAGTTGTAAACCTCTGCTGAATGATCTACAGAAGTACTGTTTGACAGATAAAAATCAATGCACCCATTATTTACCAGGCATTCTGGGAAGATACCAAGAAACTGTTCCAAATAACAGAAGGCAGCTGTTTGGAGCTCTTCATCTATAAACAAAGTTTTAAGGCTGCTCAGAGTGCTATAGACAACTTGCATCTCTTTTTTTCCTTTCTGTGCAAGAGACTGGGCCTGAAACTCTGTGTAGTTGTAAATGATTAGTAACTTTTCACAGAGAGACTTGCTGGTGAAGTTCCAGAGAAGACCAAATGTTTCAGACAAAAAATCAAAAACTCGATCCCTATCTTGGAAGTCATGCCATACTTGAAAAGATGAAGTATCTTTTGAAGTCTCATAAAGAAATGTTAACAGAGTGCTGTTGCCCTCAATATTTAAGACCAGATTATCATTCTGATACAGAGAGAAAAGTATTGGAAGAAATGAGGCCACACTAGTACTGTTTAATTTTTGGATGTTTTTGAAGAAATCGTGCACAATTTCTCCTAATTCTTGTACTTTATATATAAAAGTCGCATTTGAGAGTAATAAAGAGGAGGCATTACTCACTCCATGAATTGTGCTGAAAGACACATTGACATGATCATCAGTCAATGATCTGACCTCATAGAGATTCCTTAGGAAGCTTTCACTTAAGTGTTTTAGATGGTTCAAAGCAGCAATATTTAACTCTGGCCAATCAGTCAGGATATTTCGGAGCAATAGCATACTTCTATTACGGATTTTATTTTCTGCAGTAGAAAATATAATTCTAAATAAGGTCTCCAATACCTCCTCCTCTTCCACTTGACTCAAATGAGAGAGCCTAGAATCAAGTTCATAGAATACAATTTTCACTATATGCCAGAAAACCTCTGTCTCCTCTTTCATCCAGAATCTCTGAAGAGGCTGGAAATATTTTCGTAGTTCGTTATAGAGTTCAGAAACTGCAAGTGAGAAATTGGTGGCAGATTCCTTCCCCTCAGCAAAATTTTTCATCCATATAATAGTATTATTCAAGACATTTTCAATTAGAGACTGGTTTGAAGAAGCTGAGAAATCAAGCATGTTAATTTCTTCTATGACTTCTACAAGATGAAAAAGATGATCCATTTCATTTTCACCAGAAATCCGTAAGTTTTCTTCTCTCTTCAAAAACTCTTTGAAAGATGTCAAAATTCTGAAAAATTAAGCATTATTTTTTTCTTGTTAGTTACCTAGCAGGCAGACAAGAATTGGTTAAATATATCTTTTATAATTTTATAATATAGTTTTATTTACTTAATTCAAAGAAAGTTCAAATATCATTTAAATAGCAGTCACAAATTAATCACCACAAAACCTGAAATAGCACAAATGACAATCACTTTGGTTTTCAGAAATGTGACAAAACTCACTGAAAAGTCATAGCCACATTCAAATCAAAACCTGAATGTAGGCAGCTAGGTTAAAGAAGTGTGCATTTATCAGTAATTACAATCAAGCTTGTAAGCCACAAAGAGTCAAATAGCTTTAGTTTAAGTACATCACATTTTCAGCTGCTGAAAAGAGCAAAGCTTTTATGCTCCACAGACTAATTATTTTATAGAAAGGAACTTATCAATAAAATTGATCTAAACCTTTAATTTTCCATGAATTCTGAAGATTTTTTTTGTTTTATCATATTTATTGAAAGCCAAAACATTCCAGTTGACTGACTGATAGCTGAACACTGCTATTTTAATATCTAGAAAAGAACCCAAAACATGAAATCACAGTGAAAATTGGAATGCTCCAACCGATGTTTCCATTGTGTCGATAATATTTATCAAAAGAAAAAATGTTTACTAGCTCTGTAAGACTGGTCAAGATTGAGGTGCATGGAAAAAGGAGCATTCCAATGCAAAGGTCTCAAGTTGAAAATAGCTTCTCCTTAAATATGTTTTCTTTTAATAGTTAAAAAGCAGAACACCACACACCATTAAAAAGCTTTGTGAGGGAATTTCTGTGTCAATTACTGGAATGGCTTCTACAGAAGAGAAACCAAGATGTCAAACATTGGGAAAAAAGCATCCCCCACATAGAATCTCTTTCCTAGACCTATTCAAGTCAAAGAAATACCTCTGCATGTATAGCAAACAAATCAGGTGATTTTGTTAGTATTACTATGTAGATAAAATAGTGCACACTCTAGAAACAGTATTTAAGACCAAATCCAAATCCTTGCCCTAGCAAATGTATCTGCACTGATCTTTAAAACAAAGTTGGGAAAGAGCACAAAGGAAAAGTGATTGAATATTCAAGATATCTATTTGCATTCTACTCCTTAACTTCCATTTCGTTTTTACTGTAGATATCAAAAATATCTAAGATTCTGAAAGCCCAAACTAGGAGTTCTTTGCTTCTAGAGCCCATTTTAATCAAGCTGCTAGTCCCTGTCAAGTTCTGCTTGAATGAAAAGCACAACATGACCTCTCTAACAGTGGAGGTAATATTCAAATTGTGCCACCTACAAAATTTTGATTCTTCATCTTTCATTGCATTGATAGTGGTTATTTCCATTTGATAGGTTAAACAAGGGATTGCTTTAGCAAAGAGCTAAATAGCAGCATAATGAAAAATAAAGTTCAAAGTCCAGAAATGTAATTTAGAAAGTATTCTTATCTATTAACAGCTGTGATCGCCAGCATAGCATGGTAAATAATTAATAGCACTTGATAACTGAGGCAGCACTGAACAATTAGTCCAAAGTTGTTCCATGAGGGATATTTTTTTCTTTTTTTAAACAGAGTGATGATTACATGGTTTCTGTTTCACTGTTCATCTGGACATTAGCAGGGCTATAATACAAGTAAATTAGTGACAAGAAGCCCTTGTAACAACACATTGGAACCCTCAGGAGTCCACCACTTTAGTTAGTGCTGATAACACACCAGAGATGGAGATGTCTTTTTTTAAATCTTTTGAATGAAAGCCACAAAGACATAACTTTCTTTGCAGGATTCTCTTTCTTCCCAGTAACACTGAAAAACACCAGCCATTTGGTGAAAAGAGGCAGGGTAATTATGTTCAAGAATTACAAAAGTCCAAAGTGGAGTGGGGTAAAGGATTTCTGGAAAATAGTTAAAGAAAGAAATTACATTGACTAGTTCAACCTTACCGTGACCAGGAAATAAATGAAGAATAATCTGGTAAGTCTTGCAGAAATGCTAAATAATGACCTAGGATGGTCTCCAAACTGAGCTTTTGTCTAGAACAGAGAGATGCTTCTAGTCCACCTGCAGAGAAAATAAAAATTTCAACATCAAGAGACAGATCAAGAAAAGTTTTTATGAACACATCTATAAACAACTTGATGGACTCCCACTGAAACAACCTGAATAAATCCTACCAAATTTAGAAGGACTTGAATGTTTGCAGAAAGAGAAATACATTATGTACATTTTAAAGGAAGTAAATATGCAATTTTTATTAAAGTGCTTGATGTTAGTTCTACTGAATTATTATAATAAATATCAGCTTTACATAAGGCACACCTATATTTTCCTTACAGAACTCCTTACAGAAAAATTCAAACACAATTCCTTACAGAAAAAAGGAAAAACAGAAGATATATACATGAACTGCAGAACTAGTTCAAATAAGATTAGTTTTACTATACCAGAGCGCACTTAGTGCTGTATTCAGCACTGAAAGGAACTTTAGTATTTCTTTTTCCTTGGAATTTCAGTAAAGAGAAAGCAGTTCTGCGAAATTCACTATTACTGCCCAGATAACTGAAATATCTGGAACTGTAATAGATTACAAAACCTGTACAAGCAATTCACATTTGAACAGTTAATTTCACTAACACAGTTCTTCAAAAAAAAAAGTACTGCTTATTTTTTGCATACATTCCATAGCTGCCCACTTACTGATGAGGTATTCAGCACGTTTCTGATTAGCTCTATAGAGAAAAAGAGCAGAGGAAAAAAAATAAAAATGCTTTCAGAAAAACAGATCTTTAGCAAGAACAAGATCTTTCACAAATCCCAAGAACTAGCTTAAAAAAAATCCATCAGTGAACTAAATCCTTCAGAAGCTGGAAATACAAGTGGTGAAAAAATGGAAGAATTGGGAGCATGGTGAGAATACTTAAAGGAAACAAATAGGTGATATTGGGTGAGATCATTTTTTAGAGCTGTTTGGATCAGCCATATTGTGCCCTGCTTCATAGCTCCACAAAAACATTGAGAAGAGTAACACAAAAATTTAATGAGAAAGAATTCTGAAATGGAAGATCTCTCATTCCTCAGCATAAATCTCAGATATTTCAAAGTTCTCCCCAAATAATGAAAAACTAGTGTATTCCAAGAAAGTTAACGGCAGATGGGTCAGACCAGCTAGTCTGGTCTCCCATTTATATCCTGAACTTAAGAAGCCTTCCTGACAGAATACTGTTGCAAAAGTAGAGATTCCAACCAGGTTCAACCAGTTGGAATTTTCCCAATAGAAATGGACAATCAGAAAATTTTCCAGCTGGCACTGAAATCACAGCTATTTATCAGAGGCAGGCTCTGTATATCACAAGTTTTCCTTGGTAATGATTCAATCAGCTGGTGAATCCTAAGGCTGATGGAAACACAAACAGAAACAGACTCACAAATATAAAAATCATCACCTTTTCCCTTTCGGAGGAATACCATGCTCTAAAACAGACAGGGAACCATCAGAATAAAGCCTGTGCTGTGCAGTAGCTGTCTCCTCACCTGACTGACTTCCCGCAGAGCCTGCTTCCTCATTCATGTATTGAGCTACCTCGCATGTCCAACTGACGAAAGTTGTTAAATCCTTCCAGTATGGATTTCCCTCAAAAGCAAACAAAATTTCTTCAAGTGTATTATTAATTCTGAAATGACACAGAAAACAAGGCTACCATGATTAAACCAGTGATTTCTTTCAAAATCAAATTACCTTGTGAACACGTGCCATTTCTCTGTAAATCTCGAGCTACATTCTATTGCTACTTTATGCATACAGACAGTCCTATTGACTTAGGAAAGAACTGAGGCAGGCAGGCTAATATATATAGCTGAGTCCTTTGCTAAAGAAATCGGTGGCATAGCTATTACATCACTCTAAGCACAACTAGACTTTACTACACAGGTTTTTGAGCAGAAAAAAAAAAAATCTAAAAAGCCTTTTAAGAAACCCCCAACAAAATACTCTAGTTCAAAAAGCAGCATTTTGAAATTGAAAACAATTATTGAGGGATGCTTTTATTGAGGAATGCTTCCTCTTATCCTGAAATTCACCTCTGTATTAAAAAAATCATTGCTTTGTCCCTGAAAAAAACAAACAATAAAACACCTCGCATAAAAATAGCGCTGAGCTTTTCTTGCTCTTCAAAGTTACTTAAACACAAGCCTCTATTCCCAGGGGCCTCTTAGCTCTATCAGTGTTTTTGATGCTCAAAAAAAAAAATGTAAAACTAGTCCTCCTGGTGATTTCATCGTCATTTAGAAACGTGGAGGGAGGGAAGGCAATCAAACATTGATCAACAGCAAAGGGACAGGAAAAATGACCTAAATTTTCTAACATCTAAGATGTTATTAATATCTGTGGATTTAATCCCTGCTGCCAATGCAGCTTGTGGAATTTCTGACAGATTCTTGAATGCTTAGAGCTAATAGTTTTACTGCTTTAATAGCAAACTCTTCTGTCAAGTTTCTCATACGCATATGTAGATAGTTCTCTTCTACACTTGTTTAAGTTTGTGACCTAGGACATCTGTCCAGTATAAATGCAACTTCACATTAAATGCATTATGCTTTACATTGCCAAGCAAGAATAATAAAATCCTATCCTATTTTAAAGCACTTTATTGATATAGGGATTTGTCTCTAATATAGTCTGATTTAGCACCATTAAAGCTTTAAATCAGTAGAATTACTGAGTCATTGCAAATGACAATCAACTTAATAAAAAGATGAATGGATTTTCTGCCAAAATAGAGGAACAGTGACCATTTGATGTATTCAGAAAGTAACTTGAGATTGCAATACCCCCCTTAGTGCACTTTCTAACTACCCTCTCTTTAATGTTTTCCTGCAACTCCCAGGAGTCTTTCAGATCCAAGTTTCCAAGCATCCTGAGCAGCACAGTACCGGAGAGGTATGTACCAGGAAGCAGGCTGAGAAGTAGCAGAAAATGCTTGGAAGGGAGAAGATAAAAAGGGAGAATAGGCTTTTAGAATCCTAGATACCTGCCTATCCTCAGCTTCTAACTACCCTCTCTTTAATGTTTTCCTGCAACTCCCAGGAGTCTTTCAGATCCAAGTTTCCAAGCATCCTGAGCAGCACAGTACCGGAGAGGTATGTACCAGGAAGCAGGCTGAGAAGTAGCAGAAAATGCTTGGAAGGGAGAAGATAAAAAGGGAGAATAGGCTTTTAGAATCCTAGATACCTGCCTATCCTCAGCTTATTTCCACCCCTACCCCCCCCCCCCCCAAAAAAAAAACCACTTCTAACCATAAAAAAAATCCCACACCTCCCCAAAAAAAAGTACTACTACTACTACTAAAAAAATCATCCTCTACCTTCCTGTTTGTGCTTATAGAAAATTGTTAACACTGGGTGGTAATCAAAAGCAAAAAGCAGGGTTTGAACCTTTTTATCTATGCAGTTACTGGTTATAATACCTTACTCCAGGCTGGTACCAGTCAGGATCTTTATGTATTAAAAGGTATACAAGATACATACAGTGAGAAGAGAAGCTGTTCCTGACAAGAGCTGAAATGGACATCCTCCTCAGATGGTGCCTCTGTGCTCAGCAATTGATTCATTTCACAGTAATAAGCATAATTTTCGGTTAGCTGCTCTTCTATTTCTTGCCATCCCAAATAATCATCCATTATTGAATCTGGCGGGCTCTGTTGTCCCTGAGTTACTTTCTGCAGGAGCAGGACCTTTCACAGTAAAGAAAGCAATATTTGAAACCAATAAAAGGGAAACTCACCTGAGACTTTGGCCCTGCTTAGATTTGTAATATTGATGATATTGAAATCCAACATAAAATGGATTAAATGAGCAGTCTTTCAAACCTTCTCAATTTTTTCTGGAAGCCACAGCTACTTAGCATGTCTAAAATGTCATATCCACTCAAGAGACTCCACAGGACCACTTCTGCCTTGCCCCCAAGCACATTTTAATTAGTTTAAATAATCAGTTACCCATCTACTTATTAATAGCAAACACTAAGTAGTAAGCTGCAACCCCTGCTAATTTATTTTATTTTGTAATAGTAATATAAGTAAGGCACTGCAAGCTTTAAACATGAAAAGAATTCAGAAATACTTACAGATTCCTTTAGTGACTGGACCTGGTTACTTAGCTTGAAGGTCACCTCTGAGCCATTGCCAGGACACACATATACTGCTAAAATGTCAATGTCATCTGACCCCTGTGGAAGTCTCAGGGTCTTCTCAAACACTCTAAGCACATCATTGCACATATAGGAAGCATTGCTCATCAACATCTATAATGTAATTAATATACTGTCACTTTACAAATGAACTCAGGGTGAAGGAAGATATTGACTTCACACTCCATATTAATTCTCCCAATGAAATGTCAAAAGACAAAAAAGTACAAAGTAAAGTTGGACCAAAATCCTGCTGAACAAAAAGTGAAATCCTCTACTTAACAAGTACTTTTTGTCCCTCAAAAGAAGCCTCTGCAGCTTTATGCAAAATAATATACAAGCATTAAATAACAACATACCTGTTTTAGCTCCACAAAGAGCTTTCTGATGTCTAGGTGAATTAATCCATCTCTTTGGGCAAAGGGAAACAGTTTTTCCAGGCTACGTAAAGCTTCTGTAAGACATTTCCCCCCCACATCCCATAAAGAAAATATGTAACTCAGGGACAGTACAGTAGGAAGCATCCTTCTGGGAAAGAAAACTGGGCATGATATGGTTTAAAAATACAGTAGTTACAGAGGCATAAAGGTTCCACTTTAGTTTAGATGACAACCCTACCCAAAGCACTTAATCATTTTGCACCATACATGTACACAGTTCCACTCTGCACTTCTGAGGAGCAAAGACTGCTCCCCTCCTGCACCACCACTGAAAAAGGCTCATCAAGACAAGGCAGAAAGAAGAGACCAGTCTTCTTACACAGCAAAAGCATGACCCTATGCCCTTTCACAGTTATATCAGAATAGCTCCAATGACTTCAGTGAGCTTTCATGATTTTCAGGAAAGGAAAATGAGATCCCATGTGGGCTTGTAGCTATGAATGCTGTAAATAAACTTAGACTCTTTCCATATGTAACTGTTGATTTAGCCAGCTAATTGTTCTGAAACATGGAAAGGCAGCCTAATTCCTTAAGCTCCCAAGCAAAACTGATCTCGCCCTTCTCAAATAAAAGAAAACCACAGAAATGTTACCAGGTCATGTTAGGGAGTTGCCAAATCCAAATTGCCCTACTGAGGTGAGGCCGCCATAGCTCCATGTCCCCAGGTCCAACCAGCAGCAAGGCTGGGCAGGTAGGCACACAAGCCAACACATACACAGTAAATGCACATGGCCGGCCACACAGATCAACATACGCAGCACTCGCACACATACAAACAGCACCAACAGCCTCATCCTGTTCACCTCCCTGGTTGGTCAGGATGAAGATCTGCTAGAGGGAATACATACATATATATATACACACAGTGTGGATCCCCCCTAGCAGCTGGGCTCAGACACTCAGTCTGCCCAGCAGCTGCCCCTGGATCCCAGCTCCCTCCCCACTTGCTGGCACCTGGGCATACAAGCCCTCGAGGCTGCAGCCCTGCTCCAGCTTCTAATACAGATGTGCTTGCTCACACACAGTGTGGATCCCTGCAATAACTGCTCTTGGACACTCAGTCCATCTAGCAGCTGGTCCTGGTCCCTCAGCTCTCCCCAGCTGCCTCACACATAGGACATACACAAACAGGTCTCTCAGTCAACCCCCAGGTCTCTCTGGTGTTGGCCTGAGCCTCCTGGTTCCTCTGATAGCTGACTCTTCCTCACTGTCAGAGAAGTGCACACCTCCCCAGCTCCCAGGCCACCTCACCCACCCTTCAGCTATCCCAGCCTGATATTCACTAGTGATCACACACTGATATGCCCACCCTCACTCACTCTAGTTTCTGGCACCATGGACACATAGGTCCCACCCCATTCACTGGCACTTGATTTCACTCACTCCAGTCCTTCCAGTTGTTGCTATGGGCCCCTATATGTCCTGTGGTCTGACCTCTGCTGCACGCAGACCCTCATACACACACTTGCACACAGAATAGAGAGTCCTCACCCAGGAAAAGAGTTAGAAATGGAGTTTAGTGAGAAGGCAGGACAGCCTGCAATGGCCAGGTGAAGGGCATGGCGAGGCAAGCATATTGATCAAGCAGCCTGTTTATATGCAAGCAGCCCCTTTCATCACCTTATTTCTATTTTCCCATACTTGTTCCTCACCAAACCACCTAGATCACATCCTCTCCCCGCCTTTGGTTCCTCTTCCAAACCTCCCATGCTAAGTCTTGTTGAATCCCAAAATGCTCTTTCCCTGCTTCCCATAATGAGTCCCATATCCCTAGGCAGTAACCCCCTCAGTCTGTAAGGTGACCCAGCCTTGAAGGATCCAGGACAGAGTACTATTTGGGTTCTCCCACTTGCCACTGTTCCTCTATACTCCTTTGTGTGGATGGAGGTCAGCGTTTTACCACATAAGCTGAGAGGGCAGATGCCCAGCTGTAGTAAATCAGTGTAACTCCACCATCATGAAGGAAGGTGTACTGATATACAGTATACAGGCAAAATTGTGTAGCATACTTCAAATCAACCCATCCTAAAAAGAAGACTACAGAAACTATCCTGAAGCTTCAGAGGTGTCTTGCAGGTTTGGGTGCACAAGTAAATCAGGATTCCTTAATATGACTAGCAGTACTGATTCCATGTGGCCACGTGCTATAAAACGAAACCCACAAGACAAAAATGACACCTTTTGGTCCAATGACCTTAAGAACCCAGAAGATAAACAATCAGCAAACTTCATATTAAATGTCCTAAAAATGCACCTTTGGAAAATTATGTTGAAAGAGTACTTGTTTTCTCATGACATCTGCTCCCTGCTAAGCACTCAGTCCTTGTTCATTTTTAGAGGCTAAAACAGATTTTACAGTTTAGTTGTTAGCTGATACAGCTAAAGGGTATGTTGGGTTATATCTTTTTTTTGTGTATCAACAAGAGAACTGTTCGCTAAATTCCCAGAATAATCAGCTATAAAGCCATTAAAGGCAAGAAGCATACATGTGTCATACAACATAACCCAAGGAAAGTGGGCTTTGCTGTTATTACTGATGCTGTAATGTGACCTGTACAACCTTTACTGCTAGTAATGATGCACAGTACTAAAATACACAGAACTTGTGTCAGAGTCTGTGTTAATTTCCAACAGTGATCTTCAAACAAGAGGTTTTTATTCATAATCTGAAGACATCTGAGCTAGAAATCAAGGTCAAAATTGCACAATTTCAGTGGCATCTTGGACAAAATTTGTACTTTTAATATATTGTTTATTCTTTACTGTAAAGTCATATGGAAATATCAGGTAATTTAAGACTATCAATGTCCCCAAAAAGACCAAAGTGTTTTTCACATACCTGATAACAACTGAGTAATACAAGTGTTCTTCCTATATATACCCACATTATAGTACTGCAGGTCTCCACTAACAGGTTTCACAGAAAGCTATCTTGTCCCTTTTCCTTTTCCTTTTTTTTTTTAAATCCAGATCTGTGTGGACCTTATAATATGATTATATTGTGGACCAACTCCTGGGTATCATGGTGCTGAGCATCACACAATCTGAGTCCTAGCACACCATATAATACTATAAATGTATTCCAAATCTGAAAGTCACAATTGCTGAGCAGACATATTTACAAGAACTTCATAGGAGCTAGTTCATATTATTCAGTCAAACTGCTGAAAACAGATCCAGTTCCCCAACTACTTGTAAAATACACCTCCACTTGTCCCAAGTTCTTCCATACTGTCCCCTCTCTTCTGAGAATGGCATCTCCCACTTCTTTCACCATCAGCCTAGCTTTGTGTCCAAAAGCATAGCCCCCAGAGAAAGAAGCACCCTGCCTCTGGGCTTCACAGCCCTCAATCAAATCCTTACTTAAAGAGATCCGAAAATCCATATGTCCACCTCAGCGCTTTGCTTCACTTGCAATGACCAGCCAGAAAAGTCAAGCTGCATCTAAATCTAAAACCAAGACTTCTTGTTTGTACATACATGACTGATGGTGTCAGAAACTTCTCAGGCATTGATATTTTAATTTTTATTAAGCAGGCTCTATTTCTTGAGTTAGATCTTTAAACAACAGCCACAGCAGCATACAACATCATATAAAATGCCTAAGGAAATTGTTTATTCCTGATATGAAGTGAAAACAGGTATTATGTTGTATCCTATCATCACTAAGGGAAACAGAATTTTAGGAATTCGAAAGCTGCTGTAAGTATCTGAGTGTGACATGTATTACAGAGCCCAAATGCCTTCCTAAAGGTAGAATGTTATCCATTTCCCATGTTACTCTGAGGAAGCCATTTGAATGCTAGTAAGGGGTAATCACCATGCAGCTTTACCTTCAGTGAAGGATAAATACTGTGCTATTACATTCCTTATAGCTCCATCTACCAGAAGCAATCTCTTCGTAACAGGCCACTGAGGTACATCCTGCAGTACAGACTGCATTTTCTCCAGATGCAGGATTCTGCAATCAAAAGAGGTAGAGCACAGAAACATTGTGTACTACAAACGAAAAGGCAAAGTTGCTGAAAAATTATGGGATTTTTTTTGTTGTGCAGTCACTCTATCATGTACTTCGTAGTTTCTTACAACAGCAGCAGTATAGCAGTTTCCTTTCATAAAAAAAGAACGAAATTCCAAAATGTACTACTAAATTATTGAACAATTTGACTGCAGTATCTCTCTTAACAGTATATAATGGATTTTATAAAAACCTTGGCAAACTAAGGAAACAACAGCAAAAACAAAACAAAAGAACCCCTCTGCCTCTCAGCATTCACTACTCAGTCTCCCAGGTGAGAAGTACAACTTGTTTTCATGGACAAGTCTACTTCTTTTCAGACTAATTTACCTGAAGGCCAAAACCATTAATGTTAGGGAAGATTTACACACAAAATCATCTCCTTTCCTCTCTCTTGCAGAAAAAAAAAAAGGGGGGGGAAGTTTCCCATGAAAGAGTTCATTTTCTATCAAGCCACTTACTGTACTAAAAAAATGCTTCTGAACACTCAAAGGTGGGAAAAGGAGGTAGTGGCTGCTATTCCACCAGTGACTGTTAGGTTAAGCACAGGAGTTATACACCTGTTTTTATAATCCCACATCAGTTCATTTACTTAAGAAACATTTTTTTCATTTTTTTGTATCCCTGTTCAAACAGATTTGTTTGGAAATGGAAAGAAGCCTGTATCCATTTTATAAGTTAATTAAAACAGCAACAAATCCAGAACCAAAGACATTTCCTGATCACTTCCCACTTGCGGGTGTGCTGCATTAGAGCACTTTGTATCTTTCAGATTTATCCTCAGATGTTGATTTGTATAGCATGGATCACACCTCCTCCAATGAAGGACAGTTTTTTATATGAACAAGTAGAGCTGTTACAAGCAATGCCAAATTGAGGCCAACATTATAACTCCCAGAAGCGATGCAAGTCATCCAATGTGCAGTTAGAGAGAAGTATCAGTTCCTGTACTCTGCCAGAGACTTTTCATGAGGCTCTGCCAACTCTGACAAACATTAACTCCCTGTATCTACAACTTTTAAGTCCTGTGTAGAACCTTCCAGATCATTTATAACAAGTCTTTTTTTTTTTTTTAATAGATAGGGAAACAGAGCTCTTAAACCACTTTATTTTGCATAAATCATCCAGAACAATTGTCTTGATTTTATTTTAAAACATATGTTGTCAATCAGAATACCTGAAATTAAAGCACAGTCACTCTTTACAAGCTTGTAGTTGCACTTGTCCTGAAATGAGAATTGAAAGCATTTCCAAAGTTGCAACAAAATAGATTTCTACTAGATTAGTGACCAACTGCTAAAAGAATAACTCTACTGTACAGGAAGATTTGGACTGCTTCAACAAAACAAATCATTCTGAATAAGTACAGACCTTATAGCCATACTTTCATATAAACTGATTACATTTCCATTAAGTGATAAGCCAAATGGGGAATGTGAAAGTTCAAAAACATTAAAAGAAATGTTAGCCTCAGAGTGCCCTAGATAAGATTGGAAACTACAGATATATATATAAACAAATAGCATTACATTGTAATTCTGTTCTCCATAGTAGGATTCTGTTCCAAGATCTCCTGCACAAACTAACATGAGTATGACTGCTACAACAAAAATCCAAAACATTTCACATACACTGGACTTGCTGTACATGAGCAGATTGATCCTACAGCATACATCCATGAGAAGCATTACTGAGTCACAGCAACTATTTGTGGGAATTAGACTTTGTTTACAGAAGAAGAATAATTTAGGTCCTAGTTCAAAATGCTTGATTATACACAGCTGCTGATTCCTATGAGTCCTGATCATGTACTCGGGTCCTTTGCTGAACCTGTAAGTAGGTATACTCTGAATCACAGATTAAATTTCTTTTTCAGAATGTGTATGCATTGGCACAATTATTTGCCTGTATATGACATTTCTAATTACAGAATAAAAAATAAAAACACAAAACAAAAATCAGAAATCAGCTAAATGTAATGTGAAGATAAATATTCAAGTTGATCTGAAATTTAAGACAAGTTGCAGAAAGATAACTTACAGATTATGAGATGCAGTATATCCTTCTGAAAAGTAGGCATCTGATTTCTCATTCCATTGCTGGATCAGGGTATTTATCTCTGAGAAAAGTTTCCCGGCTTCCCTGTCATCTAGAAACTGAGACATTAAATCAGCTATGATTCTTTCAAGTTCCAAAAGGAGTTTCTGAGAGGGGCTTCTGCTGAACCATTGCTCAAATACCTAGCAGATCGAATGAAAAACAAAACACACCTTGTTAGAGAATCAAAGCTTTCTTATTTAGACACGACACAGAATTTGCATGTCTTTAAAAAAACCCCACAATTAACAATGATAGTAAAATTAATCCCTAACAACGTGTCTAGACTCTGAAATGACTGGCCTCACAAAGGTTGATTTTCAATGCAGTTTGTACTGACCTGCAAGTTGGCAATATAACATGCTACATCATACAGAGAACTAACATCCTATGTGGTGCTGTCCTTGCCCAAAGACGCAGGAACGGTAAAAAGATGGCCTGAGACTGAAACCAACCAAAAGCAGACCTCCACGGTCAATTACTCAGGCTTGCTTTCCCTTACAGTTCTGCCTACACTACCAACTTGATGGAAGGCAGCAGCCTCAACGTTTTTGGGGTCCCATTACACAAAGAGATGGAGAAGGAGCCTGCATGCTCCTATTGTGTAGCCCAGAATAAGGCATGCCAAGGCCTGGCCAAAGCTACTGACTGCTCTTCTTTCCTCCACCATTACGTTTTTTTAATGCCAAGTGGTTAAAACAGATTTGTACTATAAAAGATGCCCTGTTCACCAAGGCAATTCCCAGTGGCCAGCAGCTTACAGTACTTCAAGTTGCCATCATAAGGATGTCAGCTCTTGCGAAGAGTTTTAAAATCATGGCTGAAATTATTACTGGATTTTTCTACGGCTACAATAGGAATTAGTGCATTAGTTTTGGCAATCACATTAAATTATTACTTCAAGTCATCATACATCAGTGAAACCTTTATCAAGAGAGAAATCAAAGGCTACATTTTTGAGGAAATAGACAATAAGCTGTACATGTTTTCCTTAGATGATATTGCAAACATCTCCAGAGCAGCTTGATACACAGCTGATATTTTTTAATGGGGGAAAAAAACATATTTCAGTTGGAAAACAAACACCAGTGTTGAGGCAGCTAGGTAAGTGTTTTCCTTAGGAAACATCTGAATGGTTTTTCCTTTTCTTTACGCAACTACATATATGTCATCATAGAGACTGCATGCCAAGGTGTTCTGCGAGAGCATAATTTTAAGATGCTATACTGGAGATTTACTCTCATCCCCTTCAACATGCTTCAGCCACTATTGCTAGAGATAGTAGAGGGGAATTAAAAATAAATGAATTATATACTATATCAGTGGAGGCCTGTAGTCTGCTTTCAGTTTTGCCCAAAATTCAGGCTCAGGTGGGACAGTAAATGGGTCTTCCTTCTGTCAGGCCTCTGCAGTGCAGTATATTTCACTATATTCCCTATTAGATTTCAAATCTGTATTTGAGTTAATGAGAAAATCTGATTAAGTGGACACATGGTGATAGATTATAATTCTACTGTAATGATGCTTTATAAGGATTACTTTGTCTTCTTAGCAAGATGAAAAAAGTTCATGACCATAACATTTAATAGCTAACTCAGATCTTTTAACTGAGTTACTGTTGACAGCCTACATGCAAAAATTAGGAATTTAATCTATTAACTTATTACAGTGTACCTGTGCATAGAGTCTGAGCTTGCTGACAGCATGAACAAGATACAGTTTGGCCTCATGCCATGCAGAAATACAGCCCTCTTCATTATTCTCTTTGTTTGCTTCATCTTCTGCCACACTGGACAGAGCAGAGCACACAAACTGCTCCAGTGTCTCTCCTGTGGGAATCTGGCAGGGACATAAGAAATTGATGAGCATCTCAACTCTCTTGAGTTGAGATCTCAACTCTCCTGCTGAGTGTTATCCCTGTTATCAACTTACTTATCTGGTGAAAAAAGAATATCACATAGCCTCCTTCAGCGAGAACAAAGCCCATTTAATCCAGCCTCATATTCTGAGGCATGTACTTCAAAGTACTCCACATGCAGAGTGCTGTATAAAATACCAGTGGCCCCATTAGGGTTCTCATATACCAAGCAGAACGATGATATTTGTATATGCAAGGAATTTTCATTGTGTAGCTACACCAGTGTTGCTACTTCTACAGTCATTTGCAGGCTGATGCTGAACTAACTTGACAGCAATATAGTACACCTACACTAGAATTTTGCACTAGAATAGCTGTATCGAAGAAACTTCACAAGTATAAAAATTACTGATGTAAAAAGCATTCAGTACAATGGTACATCTCAACCAATGATTACATGCAGCAGACTAGTTTTAAAGTGAAGTTGGCAGGTTTCAGCAGTGTGGCCAAGAAGCCAGATTTTTTTTCTCAAAGCCGGACTTCTAAATTCTGTGTTGAAAGATTTATTATTCCCAATCATATAAATTTTATTAAAGCATACAAAAATAATTTAGCACATTTTAATTCTCCCTATTAATGTCTTTCTGAGATACCTTACATCCTAACTCCTTTCAACCATGACTAGAAAATTTATTGAAAGTTTTGCAGATGTTTTGACACCAAACAAGCTGGGGCATTACATACAGAATTGAAGTGCTCAGAATAGACACTGTCCAGGCTTCCATATTTCTCTTCATACTTTTTGAGGGTCTTCAATGCCCTAACACAAGCACACAATATCAAGATATTAGTTTAATCTATAAATAGCTAGCAAGTGAGTTGCCTGGAACTACACAGCCAACCATAGCTAACAGGCTGCAGTCAAATTCAGTTCAGTTGATCAAACTGGCCATCACTGATATTTCATTAAAAGACCATTCAAAAGTCAAGTTTTTTGATAATTTACCCCTTTGTGTAAATCAGCTATTTTTATAATGAACTTTTTGAAAGTACAACTCTAGACTGTACCTGGCAAAGAGCAAACAGATTTTAGATAAATACCAGCATGTTCTATTCAAAACCTGTGGACCTTAGTAGAAATTCAAAAGATATTTCAAGTTTTCTGCAGTTCAAACCAGACCATCACAACAGATCACTTTGGTCTAGAAGAAAGATTAGAAAGACCTCTCTGAGAAAAGAGATTTTCTTCAAAATTTGACACATCGCTGGTATATTTGTATAGTCCCACTGAGACAACGCATCAGTCAAGTATGTCCATATCAAGACTGCACAACTGAGAAGAAAGGACTGTTGATGTGCCTTAATTTACACACAGAAGAGATAGGCATTCTTTGTCCGGCAAACCAGATGAAAAATGCTACCTACCAAATTAATCCAGGCAGCTTCAAATCTAGGATTCTAGTTTAAAAGCTTAGTGGAGCAAACCCCAGAATTCTCTACAGGATTGGATAATAAACTCGGGACTTTGAGATACCCAGTGGTGACTTCAGAGAAGCATAAATTCATTAATGTACACAACTAGACCTATCAGCATCTTCATGTGCAGAAATTCCAGCTGAAGCTAAATACATTTATTTTGATGCGAATGAAGCCAGGATATTTAGCAGTCTGCTAGCTGCTTCACAAATCTAAGATATGACTATAGCTTTTGTAAAGCATGAAAAATCCCTTCAGGGTACAAACAAAAACAAAGATGAAAGGGAGAGACACTGAAATTTTCAGGTGGTTTACCTTTGTTAATTGTGCTGTGTAACTTAGCAGCTTCTCAACATGAAGATCATCAAAACCAAACCTGGATTCAAGTTCTGCTCTCACAGCATGTGGATTCCACAAAACATCCCCAAGAGAAAGATTATACTGAAAACCTGAAAGAAAAAAACCTTTCTGTTTACACAATTCCTGCTTTTTGTTCCTTTTGTTTCTTGATGATGCATACTTGATGAGATCCAAGCACCACATTTCCAGCTTTTCACAAAAAAAAAAAAATGTGTGCACCTGAACACCAATTTCACCAGGATAAAATTGATGACTGCATTAGTAGTATGGTAAGGTCAGTTAATCTGATGGTATTCCAACAGCTGATATGACAATGGTCAGATGCCCCTGCACAGTGATTGCCAGCAGACCCCCAGGGTGCCAATCTGAACTGTGTGTCTATTTCTGCACGTAGTCATGTAAATGTGTGTGTATGGGCTGGACATGGATCATTGCTGAGAGGGAGAGCACCATGAGAATACCAGAAGATCCAGGGAATTCAAGCTCACCCTCTGTGCAAGGGCTCCAGCATCTCACCTTTGTACCACTGCAGTCTTGGTTTTGGCTGCTGAAGTGGGATTTAGACCGCATATCATCGGTCTTAGCCTGACCTTCTATGCAGAGCAGACAGCTGCACCTAGAATCTAACTGTGTGCCACCAGACAGTTTGCCAATGAAACTTGTTCCTAACCTTTTCTTGAGGAGTTGTCCTGGGGCCAGCCTACCTTCTCCAGTCAAAGTCATCTCCCATACTCAAGCAGCAGATGAGGAAATGTAGCCCTTCAGCTGAGACCAGAATTTATGATAACAGAAGAATGAAGCTTATAGTAAAACAGCCATAATGCTTAACATGCCTGTCCAAAACAAGAGGCTATCCTTCTATCAAACGGAAGAAATTATCCTTTGCAGTGATTTAGTCTCTCTCCAAAATTCACCACTGAAAGATCATTCTAAACACGATATATTAGATCAGCGTGCTTTGTTTATCAAATAGTTGCCAGTCTGATGAAATTTAGTTATTAGTATTTAAAAAACAGATCAGTAAAGAAATGGGTTAGCACTACAGCAATATAGTTCAATTCTTAGATCTTTTACATTAGGAATTTAGCAGAAGCTCAGACAGTTACTGCTATCGCATATTCCCAGCATGCTTACAAGCTACTTCAAAAAAAATCTGAAGCAAATTCCTTACCTTCTAAGCTCCTATCCTGTACTGATGTAGCAGTTAAATTCAGTGCTGTTTTCACCACTTCATAGAAACTTTTGCCCAGTGGCATCATAGCTAAATCCTTCAATGATGCTAAGGTACTGAAAGTGAAAAAAAAAACAAAAATCAAGCTCTCTATACACCCAGAAAAACTGAAAGGGCGTGGTGGAAAAAGATGAAGCTCAAGCAATTGAATATTAAAATAATTTCTTTATTGTTTTGTCAAGTTAGACTTTTCATTAAAAAAAACACAAGTTGAGATTTTACAGTTAGAGTTTCACTCAATTTTCATTAAGGAAATGTCTCCTAAGAAGACCAATGTCCTTGTAAAAAAAAAACAGAATGAGAGAAAAAGAGTTAAAAGTGAGAGCAAAAATGAGAGCAAAGCCACCACAAGAGTTCTTCCAGTTATCCCCACAACAAGGCAGGATGGACACAGAATACTTGTATTTTACTTCCACCCAATCTGCAGAGAAAAAAAGAACCTTTAAAGCAACAGAACACTTATTCTCACAACAAATTAAACAAAGCACATTAGAAAATCCATTGATAAAAATATATCTGTTGAATTTCTTACAAGTCCCAGTCTCAGTAAGCTGTGAAACAAACTTCTTTGTTAATGTAGCTGTAATTTACTATTTAAAGTTTACATCAAATTTATCAGTTATTTCCTATAGAGTATTCCTTTGTTATTATGAAAATAAGAATCCAGTTTTGTTAGAGTGGATCAGCAGTTTCCAACATATGCCAAAGGATGAAAAAAAAAAAAAAAACCAAAAGACCAACACTATTTAACTTCACCAAGTAGGTGTGAAAAGTTTCTGTTAAGTACCTCAGAGAGACACAGCAAAGATGGTACAGTCCAGGAAGTGGGAGAAGTTGTGAATTTAGGATCCTTTCTGCTGACTAAATTCTGCCTGAGCTAGGACCTCTAGAAATGTATGTTAGTAATACAAAGCTAGTCAAGAAGTGAGCATTGGTTTTTGTGGTTTGCTTTCCAAATTGCATTAATTATGGCAAATTTGGTCATTGAAGGGCATCAAAGCCTTAAAAAAACCCAAACCCCAAATGTAAACATCTGAATCTCCTCTTATTAATCACTTGTGGTTTGACCCCAGCTGGCAGCCAAGCACCTACACAGCTGCTTATTCACTCCCTTCTCCCACAGGACAGGAAGAAAATAAAAGGAAGGCAAGAAGACTCATGGATCGAAAACAGTTTAATAGGTTGTGCTGGTTTTGGCTGGGATAGAGTAACTTCCTTCACAGTAGCTGGTATGGGGCTCTGGTTTGGATTTGTGCTGGAAACAGTGTTGATAACACAGGGATGTTTTCGTTACTGCTGAGCAGTGCTCACACAGAGTCAAGGCCTCTATGCTCAGCATATAAAGCTGGGGGAACAAGGAGGAAGGGGGGATGTTCAGAGTGATGGTGTTTGCCTTCCCAAGTAACTGTTATGTGTGATGGAGCCCTGCTTTCCTGGGGATGGCTGAACACCTGCCTGCCCATGGGAAGGAGTGAATGAATTCCTTGTTTTGCTTTGCTTGCGTGCACGGCTTTTGCTTTACCTATTAAACTGTCTTTATCTCAACCCATGAGTTTTCTCACTTTTACCCTTCTGATTCTCTCCCCCATCCCACTGGGGGGGAGTAAGTGAGTGGCTGTGTGGGGCTTAGTTGCCAGCTGGGGTTAAACCATGACATAGGTGAAGCAAAAGTTGTGCATGCAAGCAAAGCAAAACAAGGAATTTATTCACTACTTCCCATCAACAGGCAGATGCCCAGCCACTTCCTGGAAAGCAGGGTCTCAACATGTGTAACAGTTACATGGGAAGACAAACTCCGTAACTATGAACACCTTCCACTTTTGTCCCCTTCTCATTCTGTCTGTACTATAGGCTCAGAGTAAAGAAATCGCTGCTCAGATTATGTTAACAGATTAATAACTTGACCAGCACAGCAGCCAGTGGTTACTGCTATCTTTGTTTACTTCTGCTGAAGAAAACAATAACCATAAGCTTACAATCAAGTTCCTGTCTTACCTCAGGAACACTCAGACTCTGAGAGTTTGCAAACCTTTCAGAAAAGACTTCTGCTTTTGGGATACAAGCGCTACAAGCACAGCTAATACAGGTTTGCATGTTAATAGTTCAGAGAACAAGCTGGAATAAGGTTACAAATGACTCAGGCGTAAAGGGGGAAAAGAAAAAAATCAAGCCCCAACACAGCTGCAATCCACATATTGTAATAAGAAGAGACTTATTTCCCAGTTTCAAAAACATTATGCCATCATATCCTTCATATCTTTTTTATTAGGAAAAAGACAGTGGGATGCTAAAGGGTGGCAGAATCAGCACAGTAATTTCCCAAAGTCTTTGAGCCCCTGCCTCCCCATGGGGTAAGGCTGGTGAAGTTCATGGTCAGTCTTGCACAGGCAGCCAGGTTCAGTGGCCTCCTCTAGCCTTACAAATATGTTAATTGACTACAATGACAACTACCTATCAACCTATTACAACCACCTACCTACTCTGGCAAATACATTTTTGACTTTTTCCTAACAATTCCCTTATTTTACTGAAAATTCCTGTTGATACTTGTCTTAGTCTGTGCTTTTGATACCATGTCTTCTTCTGAATCCAGCTGTCCTTTACCTGATGCAGAAAACTTCCATATTCAGAATACAGTCTCTGTGGGTTTTTTCTTGCTGCTTCATTTCTTGCAAGAGAACAGCCAAAGCTATTTCAATAGCAAGAGGCTTGAAAAACAAAATGGAGTAATTTTCCCAATATTGACCAAGCACTACATACATATTAAGTTGATTAGAATCCAAACTATGATTTGCTTATATTCATATGTAAATATTCTGTCCTTCAAAGAGTCCCAAAGCACATTACAAAGTTCAAAGCCATATTATGTGATGGGCTAATTTCAACCATTGCTAAGATGAAGCTACTTGTTGGAGACTCCTAGGGAATCTCTGCTGAGCTGGAGAGAGATGAAAAATACAGCTATGAAGGAATCAGAATGGGTGAAAACTCCTACTACAACTCTATAAAAGCAGAATCTGGTAAACAGAAGAAAATTTCAGCCTCTTTACACTGATAAAGATGCTTATTTTATTAAATAGGCAGTGAGAAGAACAAGAATTGCAGCTAAAATATTAAAACAGCGCACTTTCAAGCATGAAAGAGTACTTACTTTTGAATAACTTTTAGAAACTGTGCTATGGCACCTAACCCATCTTCTGTATAAAAGCTGTTCGATTCAAGGCGAGGGAGTGAATGCAGAAGGTTCCAGAAATATGGTTGCTTGTACAGGTTTTCTGCTCTAGAAATCATTTCCTCCACTTCATTCAAATCCATCTTTATGCGAAGAAAACACATTTACACGCAACACTTGCATTAACAGAAAAAAAAATAGCAGATGCCTGTTACTTTCCCTACCCCTGCCCTCTTGAATTTTAAACCATTTAAAATATTTTTTTCAAGTGGAAATGTACCTCTAGCTTTGGTAATTCACCACATCATTTTGGTGGTACTTTGAACTTATGGCAGCTTTATTTCAGATGTCTCTCTCTGATGGAGAATGGAGCTGAGAGAAAAGCTAAGCACTGTCTTTCTGCTCAGAAGTGTAACTCTCTCCCAAAGAGAAAGATCATCTTTGACATCTCAAACACAAGGAGCCCTTTAGCCCTCCAATGAATTTCTAAGTCTAGAGTATAAAGACCAGGGGACTGCCAGGGACATGCCATCCTTGCCTCAGCCTCACAGCTCCTTTGGGGAGGGTGCGTGTGTGTGTGTGTCAAATAATAATTGATAAGAATGGCTCTTTAAAGAAGGACTGGGGTAAAACTACTTCTTTTGTAGGATTACACTATCACATGCCTATGCAAAACATAGGATCTATCATACTTGTTTATTATGCAGTCTTTGTTTCTCTAAATTAATGTTTCACTAGGGCTTGTTTGAATAATGGTAACATGAGCATGGTTTATACAAAAAGAAGCTTGTGTATACAAGCTCTGTTACTAATGGTAGGCTACTTTCTACTAAATATTTTCTTAATGTTGATAAATACATTCTTTCTATTTTATATTCCATTACAGAAATGAAATTTCATATTGATACAGCTCCTTTCAATCAAGTATCTCATGAGCAATTTAAAAATGATACTATAAAAATGTCATCTAATTTTAAGTTATAAATTGGAAATCTAGATTTCATGAAGTAGCAGTTACAATCAATCACATACGGAGAAAATGCATTTTAAAATATTTAAAGTGAAACCAGTGATCTGTGAAAGGTACAAAATTGACAGTAATGGAGATCCACTACTGTGCCCATTCAGTCTTCCTCTTTTTGTTGAGATTGCAGGGGTGAAAGACTAATGCATTAGGGACAGCACAAAGACCAAACTTCTTTCACATAAACTGCCAAATTGATTCTGGCAGGAATTATGCTACATATTGCAAATCTGTCTTCCTTCACCCCCACTTGAGTCTGCTTGTCATATTTACTGGATCACAAATTTGAATTCAAAGTAATCTCATCCAAGCAAGAGCCCCATCTTTTCAATCTCACTGCAGTCCTTTTTTAAGTTTTGGGTTGGTTTTTTGTTTTTTTTGGTTTGGGTTCGGTATTTTTTTAATAATAAGTACACATTAGGATAAGAGTTCCTTGCAAGACATTCTGTAATATGATTTAATACAACTACACAAGGTCTGGCAGATGCACTTTTAAATTGCTCCTAATGAACAATTAGCCTTCAAATAGTTGTGAATTCTAGCTACAAACAACCTAGTGTGGTGGGTTGACCCTGGCTGGATGTCAGGTGCCCACCAAAGCCGCTCTATCACTCCCCTCCTCAGCTGGACAGGGGAGAGAAAATATAACGAAACTTGTGGGTC